TCGTTGACGGCTTCTCATTCATGTGACCCCAGCCAGCGGTGCATATGCTCAAGGAAATGTTTAACCCAAGTTTCAATATTTTTTAATAAATATGTTTTTTGAGTCAATGAGACTTCAGCTGGTTGCAGGTGAACAACCGACATTTTTTTTTCAGTCGTCACATGGAGAAATTCGGCCGCAGCTTTCAGCCCGGACATAGAACATAACATTTATGACCCATTTAGGATATTGTTTCCATCCATCCATTTTCTGATTTGCTTTTCCTCACAAGGTTCGCAGAGCATGCTGGAGCCTATCCAAGCTGCCTACGGCAGGAGGCGAGGGACACCCTGAACCGGTTGCCAGCCAATCGCAGGGCATACAGAGACGAACAAACATCTGCGCTCACACTCACACTTAGGGACAATTTAGAGTGTTCAATCAGCCTGCCATGCATGTTTTTGGAATGTGGGAGGAAACCGGAGTACCCGGAGAAAGCCCGCCCAGGCACGGTGAGGACATGCAAACTCCACACAGGAAGCCTGAAGCCGGAATCGAACCCTGCACTTCTGCACTGTGAGACCAACGCGCTAACCAGTCAACCACCGGGTATTATTTCCAAATTCATAAAATCAATTATTTTATGAGTTTTTAAGACCCTGCGGGAATTATACTCGCCCTACCTGTAAAACTGGTTCTGAGCACACTAATTATAAATTCAGGATTCCAAATAGATTATTTTAGATTCATAAGGGAAGGTGTTGCATGTAAAGTTGACTGGTCCAGAGCAACTTTTATTTTTTCTCTCTCTTATTTATTCCCTCAAACCAAAACCATTACCAAGTATACATTTATTTATTTATCTTTAATATAGTATGCAGGATTCCTGTACTTATTATATTTACATACATACATTTTAAATGTACAATGGATGAGTCAATGCAGCTATGCAGTTGATTGGTGAGAAATAGTGTCAATAGGCTATTGATTCATTGCCTTGTCAAATGCAACCAGTTGCTTGTCATAAAAAAATAAATAATTTAAAAAAAATCCAAAACAGTATGTTGGACTTTTATTCGAAGGGAAGTTGTTTAAATGCTAACCGGTTGCTCTGCGAACTTTTTAGCGTTGCTGTTTAGCCACACTGTACTGTATATGACACCAGGCTTTAAGTTTGTCGTATTTTTTTTGGCATGACCTAACAGGCAGCCGTGGAAGCAAAATGTGTCCTCATCTCACTCTGCGCCTCTTTTATTCAAACAAGCTTGTGTGCAGTTTGTTCTCTATCTGAGTCTGAACATTATGCTCACCCTGGGGAGTCATGCTTGTAGGGAGACCCCGCCCACCACACAGAGGCTCAAATTCATGCCTGAATCTGGCTCTGTTACTCTGTCACTCTTAAAACACGGCTATAGTTTTTTTTTTCATGGAGACATTACATTGTGTCATAAAAAATGAAATAAAAACTTACTTTTCCATTTGGCAAGGATATTTTTGTCAATTTGAGACACCTTAATGAAAACAAGAATATCCAGCCCTTTTAGCGGATACTGATCAACTGTAACTTTTCAATCACGTGATTGGATACTAATTTAAGTATCTCGTATCTCTTAACTCATTTAAGTCACCAAATCAAGGTGTTTACAATGTGAGTTTTATGCAGGGTTATACTGTAGGTTGATTTTCATTGTTAAATATCCATTTTGTAATTCAACATTTTGAAGGGGAATCTCTTTATTTGAATGCCCCTGAACTCACACACTTCATAATTTGACCCCCCTTTTTTTTTATATGACTGTGAAGTTCTACAGGAATCCAAAATCCCAGTGACACCACATCACTTATTAAATAATTCATATTTTTACATTTGACAGCAAATAATTGTTCTTAACCAGGTACTGTACTGCTGTGTATTGTGATTTAAAGATTCTGTGCTTTTTTTTTTTTTTTTTTTTACATATCAAGTGGTTGACTCTGTATAGTAATGCATTGAAAGCACATTCTTTTTAAAATGGCCTGCAAGTGATAAAGGCTTTACGACTGCAGTAACAACTTGTGTTCTACCGGAATAGTAAAAAAAAATAAAATAAAAAATCCATGCATGAGCGTATGCAGGCTTAGAAAGCACCTCGCCGGCTCCAAACCTTTCACCTGTGCGCACAAAGAGAGGATCTGCTCAACAAACAAGAGTGAAAGGGTGTGGGCAAAGGCAAATAAATACATTCATTATTCCTTAACTGCTGTTGAGGAGGTGGATGTTTTGCAGGAAATGAAAGGGACAGGGCCGTGGCATGTTCCTCATCACATCAAACTCATTCATACCGCACTCCGTGTGTGTGTGTGTGTGTGTGTGTGTGTGTGTGTGTGTGTGTGTGTGTGTGTGTGTGTGTGTGTACGCACGCACACACGCATCATAATATGTGCCTATAAAAACGGAAGTCTTTCATCCAACAATCTTATCAGAATGTGCTTTCATGACTGCTTTACAACATATATAGCTTGACAAGAAACAACAATCTATGTCTTTCTGTTTTGGAAAAGTACCCACATGGCCTAAAACATTTCATTCTTTCCAAACACACCTTTTTCTTTGGGTGCAAATAACAGGAAAACCCATTGGTGACTTTTCTTCCTCCCTTATCATTAGATGATGATTAATTATTAACTCACAAACTCCACGCTGACCATCACTCCCCCTGCTATTGCGGAATTACTTTTTTTGTTGGTGTGCATATGGCAAATACCGGTAATGTGATTTCACTCCATCTCCAAAATAATTCAACTATGACTATAACTAAAACTATTCAAATAAACAAGAAGGAAATGAGTTTGAATACTTGAAATGTTAAATCTGCCATCTGGCTGGTGACCAACATAGGGTGTAACTGGCATTGTTCAATTTTGTTTCAGCCAGTGGGGAGTTAGATACAGTAAGTTTGACCATTTGTCTCAAAAGGATCCAACACAGTACAATAGTACTGTTATAAATAGACTGTAATATTCATGCATTTTGTGATTTTCATGCTGCTGTTCGATAGGTTGTGTTGCGGGGTGTTCCTGCTATTCTTTAGACCTCCTGCATACTCACTCCTTTTGTGTGGTGGAAAATCTATCATGTTGACAATGGGATTGGCTGCCTCTTTAGTAGGAGGAACATAATGAATGTCTGGCTCCTCACAACAACACAGACTCCATTAAACACACACACACACACACACACACACACACACACACACACACACACACACACACACACACACACACACAGGGAACACACTTACATGAGCCCAAAGAAAATAAGTAACCCAAACCTCACCCCAATAAAAAGGTTAGCCCAAAATTACAGTAAACTCCGAGCGCAGCCTCGATTAACGAAAAACTGAGAATAAATGATGCGCTGTAAAATGTTTATAATAGTCTACATTAACAGTTTAAACCAGCAATACTACCACAAACTACTCTATGATCCCAATTCCCACAGCAATTCAACATTTTTTTCACCTAATCTTAAAACAAAACCATTAAAAATAAATATGTCAACAGTGCCATGTACATCATCTGCAGCTGTTCAGAATCAATATCCATCCATTTTCTGATCTGCTTATCCTCATAAGGGTCGCAGGGCGTGTTGGAGCCTATCCCAGCCATCTCCAGGCAGTAGGTGGGGTACACCATGAACTGGTTGCCAGTTCAGAATCAATCTTGAAATTAAAATTAAATAAATAAATAAAAATAGCTCATACTCATTAAACATGCTAAAGTGTATTAATATGTGATTGCTACAGATCTTTTTTGGAATTTAGTTGTAACAAGTTTTGCTTTGACCAACCAATCAATCAAATGACCTGCCTGATGACAAGAACATGTAGAGGCATGTCGGAAACTGCACAGGTACACTCAAGTGTAGTCCTGTTTACATGTGATAGTTTCATGAAGCGATAAAAACACTGATTGGTTGCATTTTTGTTGTAATCTTATTTATAATGAATTAAATTATATATATATATGATCAATTAAGTTTACACCACACTAGTTTGGCAGAATTTGATAAAGTCATCACAGTGAACGTTTCAAAGACTGAAAATCAAAATGTTAAATAAGTTAACAACTGTCTTTCATAGTAGTTCATGGGTCGCTTGCCTTAATTTTTCCCATTAGCCATGGGTCGCTTGCCTTTATTTTTCCCATTAGCCAAACACATAAGACTAAAATATTTCTGTATTGTTATATACTGTTTATTTTATTACTGGTTAATTGATTACTTGTGTTTGTTAATAATAATAATAATAATTAAAATGGGAAGAGGACCTCAAAAAAACCTATCACATATTAAAACGCAATTAAGAGTGAGAGAGTGGCAATTTGATTATTTTTCAACATCGTTTGACCCTATTTTTGAGGCCAGCAGTTGTTCCACGTTGGAAAAAAACGCAAATATGTGAATTCGCGAATATACGGGTATGCCATAGTACACATTGCGCATGCGCGAAAATCGACTTGCATCGTCGCCGAACCCTCTTGCGGTCCAACAGAGTGAAATGAACTCGCGTGATAAACAGTCAAACGAACTGGCGACCTAAAACACACACACACAAAAAAACAGCCGAGCGTTCGCCCTTGCTTAGAACGTCCACTTTCCCTCGTTAGTTCCGCCGGCCGCCGGTTCAAGTCCCTGCAGCCGGCGTTTTTGTCCAAAATATGTGCTTTCGTGGGCTCACACTCGGGTTTGGGAAGTCCCGCACGTGCCAGCGCTGGCGTGTTTTCCTTGCGAAGGGACATGCGGGCACACACTAGAAAGAACATCTCGAAATTCAACACGAATGTGTCATTGCGCGTAGAAGAAGCTGCGTGACTTTGAGACACAGCGGCTGATTTGTAATACACGTATACAACACACTCGGCCCAGGGCCCCGTTCCTCCTTGAACGCAGCGCGGACACACAACAAGCTAGCTCCTAATAAAAGAAACACACCCCTTGGCAACAATGGCGGGTTCAAGGTAAGCTCGGACAAGGTACTTACCAACCAAACAAGACACCACCTCGAAGCTTGAGGAAAACTACGCCGCGTCTCCCCTTTCTCACTGTGCGTATGTTGCCCCTAGAGAGGTTCCGGTGGAAAAATGTCACGGATTCCAGCGGTCGGCCTGTCGGGTCGGTCGCCTCCCCCGCCTCGCTCCGCTCCTGTCTCGGATGAGTGATGTCTGTTTGCCCCCTTCACTTGGAACCTCTCTCACGCCACCTTGTTGCCAACGCCGCGTTCTGTCACCTGGCTCTGTGCTTCGACTCTTCTCCGGGCGTTCAGGCGAGCACACTCGCGTTGACAGCTTTGGGATGGATGGAGGAGGAGGAGGAGGAGATGGGGGCCGAGCGTTAGAGGTGGAGAGCGAGTGAGTGGTCATTCTGCTCGAGTGCACAGGGGACTGATAGTTTCGAGCAAAATGACTGTTATACCTTTATATAAAGGCACATTTAATGCATAGTGGTGAGTTGAACCCGATTAGCTGGAGGAAAAAAAAAAATCACCGTTTTTAAGTTCGAGCACTGCAGAGGCTGCAAAACACATTGCCACCCAGTGTGTCGACAATCATACTGATCATAATGATGATGTTTAATCCTGCTAAATGTGCCGTGCAGCCATTGTAGTAGCAGACATGTGCGCAGGGGCTTCTTGTGTTACGTAACCAGTCCAATCGGCCAACAACAGTGTGTGTGTGTGTGTGTGTGTGTGTGTGTGTGTGTGTGTGTGTGTGTGTGTGTGTGTGTGTGTGTGTGTGTGTGTGTGTGTGAGAGGGGAGGGCGGCTGCTTGGTTAGCTGGCAATTAAACATGAAACATGATGACAACACAGTTTCAACATGTACTTATGACATTTAAATTGTATGCGAGAGGGGCAATTAAAGACAGAGTTGCACTAATTACATGACACGTTTGAATATCTGAGGGTACGGATTAGCTCTCATTTATTCATTTTTCAGCCAGTCACTGTGCATTAACGACCATGTAAAGTGATTTACATGGTCGTTAATGCACCTGGCAAATGGGTGTCTTTTTTTTCTTTTTGTTTTTTTCATAGATTTAGATTTTCATTCATTTAGATTGGGCATTTGCGCCGTTGTGGGAGTGACCACGGCCAAGTTAACTGTGTAAATTAACTGTGTGCAAGTGTGCAATGACATGGCTGGTCTCACATTTGGTAGCTGGGTCTTCAGTAGGGTCTTCCTCGACTTAATCTTTCTTTGATCTTTCTTTTTTATACCACCCCTGTCAGCTCACAATTGTAGGAATAAAAACTGTTGGCTATATGTATAGATTATACCAAAAATATACCCCAAACTATGATCTGAACTGTGTATGTACAGGGACATTCAGTGAGTACTCTTCTGTTCATAATCCAGGTTTAATTTAGCTACTCCTCGCCATACAGACCTTTTCTCTTAGTCAATATTCAACCTACCTAGACTGTTAGGAATAAATGAATACGTTGTACAATTTTGTGGAACAAATATTCACATTTATAGGTGAAACACAGGTCAGTGCTTTCTGATGTCGTCTTGCGTTCAGTCCGGGTCAACCGCAATCGAATAAGACAAGGATGACCAGTTTAGAAAATGGATGAAGACAAGACTGTATTGTTTTTGTAAGGGGATTGAATACAAAGTGATTTTTATACATCATTCCCAATCTCAAACTATAAAAATGGCTGATGAGCACTCTAGAAAAATACCCCCCCCTTTCCTTTATACTGTATAACGGCAGTGTCTTGTTGAGACATGACTTTGTTCCATTCAGAAGTTGGGTGGAACAAATTACTCGTTGAGTATTCACCCACGCCTGTTGGGTGGGCGAGTTCCACACGGGATTTAGCGAGACGTCTAATTAGTCCAACGTGCCGGGGCTTTGACCAAAACAAGTGGACCGAAACAGATCCTAATGCTAAATTAAATTGAATATAAAGGACAAAAACATATTTAGTTGTTTGATCCCCAAAGGAAGGACTGGAACATTGAAATTAATCCATTCTAGGGTCAAACTGTCAGCTTTATTAAACTGTGTGAAGTAACATTTAAAATTTTAACAACCAAATCAAGTGTGAAAATAATTAAACTTTGGTACTCGAGTACAATTTTTGGCCACTGATATCACAAAATAGAACAAAGAAGGAAAAAGTGAGAATGGTGTATCCATGCTCTTCGTGACACTGCGTTATTTCTAAACATGTTCTGTGTTGATGTTCTTTCCTCTGAGCACTGCAACTTGCTTCCAGATGAGTGGCGGTCACTGCAAGTGATTTCACTGGTGGATTTAGTCTGGTGGTAAGGAGAAAAAGGACAAGTTGAGTTCATACGGCCTACAACGCGGTGGCAAAATGAAGAAGCAGTGTGATGTGTCATGATGTCACGTTCCTCCCAACTTCAAAAAGCAAGCTCGCACTGGTCTGTGCCATCATGTCAAAAGGCAAAAGTGAGTCACGTTTTGAGTGAATAAAGTGCTTGCCAAATGTAAACACTATGTTTTTTTTCTATTCAGGCTGACCTCAACTTTCCCTGTTTACTTAAATTGTTTCAAGGGAACGGCTTCCTCTTTCTCATGTGGCCCCAAAAACAACCTATGACCATTGTACACAACGGTGCGGTCAGTGCAATTTCTAAATGAAAGAATACAGTCAAAGATATATATTTAAACATCACAGGACAGGTCAAGTCATTTGGAATTGAAGTCTCTGGAAAAATAATGACCAAAGTTGCAAACTCTTTGGATTTCTAATTGCTTTTTGTGATCATGACTGCGTTCGTGTACTTACTCACACAAGGGCAAATGCCTCCAGCATCCTTTATTTAGTCTCTTGTCTAGGCAAGCCTGTGGGGTGTGGTGTGTACCACGTTTTATCAAAACAAACCCAAGCCTCAAAACAAACCTCACAACGGAACACATTTTTCGAAACCTGCATTCAGTCTCAAGTCAAACAAACATTTTAAATAGCATTTTATGGATTCGGGCACCGGCTTCCTCAAAAAGGACAGATTCTGCTACTGCACCTCTGTGGGGTTTGCATTCTCTCACAATACTTTTGTGTTGTTTCTATCCCAACATCCAAAAATACTTACACGTTAGGTTCATTCTGGTCTTAAATTGGCCATAGTGAACGCTAGTGCGAATGATTGTTGGGCTACAGCTCACCTGCTACCCTAATGAGGACAAGCCATTAAATGACAAATGGATGGCTTTTATGAATCAGAATATATGTGAACAATTGAAGTTATGTAAGATTGTATGTCATGCTTTCTTGAACATGCAACTTAAAGGTTTTTTTTTTTTCTGTTAATCAAGAAGCCTTCCTCGTTTATTTCACCCAGATAATTGAATTGCCACTTTGTTATTCTCCTCGGGAATGAAAGGCAACATAAAAATGTCTTCTGGGCCATTTGAACGGATAGTGGTGGCAAAATTGTGTTCAGATGGGACACCTGATGCTCCAGGGAGGAGAAAGGAGAACTTGGATGGTGCTCCTTGAAGAGAACATCTTTGTTGCCATCTTGTGGGGGGAATATGACTTGTCCAGTATTATTACTGTACGTATATATACTGTATCTGTATATTTTTGGATCATTTGCAAGAATACAATGCTTGCCACTATATGTAGATGATAAAGAATGGACTAAGATATATCATATTTTGACCGTTTTTCATTTTCTGCAAATAAATGTTCCAAGTGACAAAACTTAATTTGTAATTTGAGAGTTATGTTGTCAGTCATTTATAAAATTTGGCAAACTGATAATTTTGCAGTGGTCTCTACAGCTAACGAAAAGCTAGTAATTTAACAAAAGACGTCTCTCAATAAAGCCCACATTTAATCTCCACTTATTATTTCCTACTCGTAATATTGAGCAAAATTACAATTACAAACTACCACAGATTAAGAAAATGTTAGTTTGATGAAAAAAAAGTATCGTGATTTGCTGAAGCATACGGGCTACGCCATCTTTTAAATTCAACAAATTTAAAAGGCTTTATTTTAATGTGACCATTTACTTTTTATTTACACCTATATAATAGTTATATTATCTGTAATAGTATTTATTCGCAGCTAAATGAGATGAATGTGTATCGTCAACTAGCGCCTAGCATGGGTAAGCTTCCCAGTAGTATGTCACTATGACAACGCTCACGCGCTCACTCGCGCGCGTGCAAACATGGCCGCCTCTGTATCCCCGCTACGGTCCTACTGGGCGCTTTGTAGCAGGTTGGCAAACCCCCACCGCTCGTGCCGGGCCAAGCTTCGGACACACAGAAAATGGGAGAATCAGCGGAGACACCTGCACCAGTCTGCGACGAGGTAAAACGACACAAAGTGTCAGCCTTTTTGAATAGCATGCGGGCGTTACTCTGAAGCGGACGTTGATGGAAGTGGGGCTGGGGGATGGACCTGTGAATGACATACGGCTCCACCGCAGACACTGCAGGTGCTGTGTTTGCAGGCGATTCGTAGTAGAATCACGTTTGCCAACTAAATCATTACATAAGGGCAGCAAATGTGACCGCTTGACGCGTGAGAGAACACACCGGCCGCAGTCACAAAGCCACATGGAGGTGCAACCACTGTCAGAAATGACTGATTACTGCGGGGGGTTGGATCAAAGAAACCATTAACCACTGCAGGCTAACCTAGGCTAAGTGAAGTCTTATATTACTGTTTTTTTTTTCCCCTCATTATAAGTATTTATCCATCCGATTCAACATGATCGTAAAAGCATAAAAAGATGCATGTACAGAAATCTGAAGCTTTGTTGTTATTATTTTTGTTATTATTATTATAAAAACCTGCTGCAATTATGACATTGATGAAGGATACGTTATAAATCATTCTCATAAACTGTTCGCCTTGGACTAATTGACTCTTCCGGGTATGGGCAACTGGATTCGGCAGCATAAAATCCTGATCGGAACAACCCGAGTTTAAAATATTAATGTGCCACTTCTTTATTCTTCTACTCATCCCAAAATCGAATATGTCAAGCAGAATAGTTATCAGTGCGTCACTGTTTCATTTTAGGATGCATCGCTCCACAATCTCCACTTTGCTCGAGTGCTCTGTTTCCTTGCTGCCTTCAGCGTTCACTCAAATCACAATTTGTCCACTTTCGATGGTCAACAGTCTCATGCACAGGTAGAAGAAGAGATCCTGGTGCGTTCAGTGCAGCGTGGTTTTCAGAGTTTCCCGGAGTACGATTTTGAAGTGTCAAACCAAGACATGCAGAGCCAAGCCAGTAAAGTGTGGGAAAGTGGTACAGTTTACTGCTGTACACTAATCTCATAGATTTTTCATAATACAATTTATATGAGTTCCGTTAGGTTGTGAGTTTTTCGACTTACAAGCTGGTGGATGATCCAATTTTTGTGCTTTTTACATGCAAAATTTTGATTTGCGAATGAGCTTGAGGGGTTCAGCCACTAGATGGCGGTAGTCAACTTCACACCGTCCGGCCACCATCATTTCATGTTGTTACCGTTCAGTGACAGTATAGGTATAGGTGTTTTATGTTAGCCTGCACATTTTTATGTGCTGATATTTTGCCAGTCAGTCAAGCACAACAACAACAAACCTTCATGTTTTTTGCTAGAAAGCAAAACATTGTCAAGAAAAGCCCACTAGAACTTCAAATAGCAGCACTTGTATGCTGACTCCCACGAGTTTGAATGTACTGTAATTGGTGAATTCTGAACACAGCCACATCTCAGTTATGAGAGGGCGTGCAGACTTGTGCAACGACATCATTTCTGTTTTTACTTCGCCTCTCAAAAAGACTTTTTAAAAAATAACTGAGTTTAGCTGTTTGTAGCCTCCAACATTAATGGTTGAACACATTTTGGAATGTCTTATCATGGTCTTATTTTCCACTGTATATTACAAAAACCTTGAAAATGAAAACGGGTGTGTAGACTTTTGTTTTCTAATGTATACTGGGGCTGAAGAAGTCAATGTAATGCCAGCCAAGGACTAGAAATAATTTCTAAGCTGCATATGTTTTTGCATGAAAAGATGGAGATGCATCTGAAAGTGAGAAAAGAGTGGCTGACAAAAAAGGGAACAAAAAACAGTGACAAATTAGAATTTCTGTGAAAGTTTATTTAAAAAAAAAAAACAATTGAGGGAAAAAAATGTTGGAATGCTACTTTTAAGACCACTATGTGAATTAATGGCATTTCCATTCATTTCACATGGGAAGCTTTGAATGCACTATGAACAAATCGAGATACTACAACCTTCATAACAGTGCTAAAAAAAATTACATTTCATTCCTTTCCAGGCATGCTGCCGTTGTGATTTCAGGGGCGGCGATGGCTCGTCAGCTCCACAGAGAGATCCAACGTGACGTGGAAGAGCTCGTCGCTCAGGGCAACATGAGACCTCATCTAGGAGTGGTCTTCGTGGGGGATGACCCGGCCAGCAGGACTTACGTTAGGAACAAAACACGCGCTGCCAGCACTTTGGGTCAGATGTCACACCTTTCTAAACACTGCATGACAAACGTACAACACTGAGATGAAAAGTCACACAGCCGCTGGCATGCTTGGACACGATAGATAGTCCTAGATAAGTGTGGCTTTTAGCAACAAAACGTATCCACAAAAACAAGTTAACACGCTTTTTGCAATCCAGGTATTTCCAGTGACACAGTGTTGCGGCCGAGCTCGGTTTCTCAGCAGGAATTGCTGGATCTAATAGACAAGATGAACCGAGATTGGCGGGTCAGCGGACTGTTGGTGCAGCTGCCACTTCCTGGTAAACATGCACGCAAATGTGTGCTCACTTGTGGAGGTAGTTCCTTTATAGCCGTGATTCCCAACTAGGGTTGCAAAGTGTTTCCAATATATTTCCGTCAAGTTTCCAATACATTAAATATAACTTTTCAACAGATGTATTTGTCAGTATAACTTAATCTTGTTTGAAATATTTTCTTGAACGAATCAATTCAATTCAGAAAGGCGCCATGTGTGAAATATGTCCATGTCTCATCAAAGGTTGGCAAACGCTGCTTTTATCGTACGCCGAAAGAGTACAAGACAATGCTTGGCATGGACTTAAATAAAACATCCAGACTCGACAGATGATCAATCGAGAGCTGCCTGTTTTCTTAGAGCACATCAACGAAAGAGCAGTGTGTAACGCCATCGCTCCAGAAAAGGACGTGGATGGCTTCCATATCGTGAATATCGGCAAGCTGTGTCTTGACCAGAGATCCATGGTGCCTGCCACACCTGCAGCTGTCTGGGAGATCATCAAAAGAGCAGGTAAACCGACATAGCCCATCATTTCACAAGGTAACTATTAGTATTCCACAATAGACCCCATGTAAAGTATAATTGACTGGCGATCAGTCCAGGGTGTACCCTGTCTCTTGCCCAAAGTCTTTCACTGGGGGGGTCTTTAAAGGACAATTGCCCTAAAATATAAATGGATAAATGTAATAAAGTGGAATATTCGTACTCGTCTCCAGACACCCTGACACTTGTGCTGTCTTACTATAGGACGTCCGCTAGATGGCGCCTGATTATAGTTGTTCGCCCTGCAATTGACACCGACACAGAGATTTTTTTTCTCTAATTTCTGTATTCTTGCAGACTACATTTATCGCAGGTTAAAACCTTTTTCGAGATCTTTTTAATTTTTCAAAATCTTTGTTGTCATGTGGAGTTGAGTGACCAAAATTAGCTGGGAAAGACTCCAGCTCTCCCTTGACCCTGAACATGCTAAACAATAACAAATGAATACTAATGATGGTAGTCATTGACAGAACCCATTGTGACTTAAATATTTGATAGTTCTCCAAAAGCTTTTTCTTTTTCGAACAACCTTTTCACGTGTGCATGTAAAATATGAAATAAAAGTCAATATTGGATTTTTGCTGCTGTCATTGGATGCTTATCATACTGTTCCTCTTTCATCCTTGAGAGGAAGGACTCGGACAAATGTGGTTAAAAAAAAAAAAAAAGAGAGAGAGAAATGTATTACTTCACCTTCATAAAATTTTAGAATTATTTTCTCCCTGAGGTGCCAAGCATAATTCATTCCCAACTATTTCCCCTTGAAAATGTGACGCGCAGGTATCGAGACAGTGGGAAAGAATGTGCTGGTTGCTGGACGCTCCAAAAATGTCGGGATGCCCATCGCCATGTTGCTGCATACCGATCGGAACCATGAGCGCCCTGGCGGTGAGTGTGTGTGATTGCATTTGGGTAATGTGCATGTCGTGTCAACAGAATCCTTATTGACAGTAAATAAAAGAGAGCAACTCCCACAACCCGAACTAAACCATCATCATTGATATGTGGCAGTGATAATATTCTGTGCAAATGAGCCAGCATTTTACAATAAAACCTTCACCGAAAAAGCCTTCTTGAACGCTAACAAGGCTTAAATTCAGTGAGACAAAAATTTTTTTTTCGTCTGTCTTAGGTTTCATTCTCAAAATATAATATCTGGCCACATGTAGACAAATTTATCGTTTTGTGACAACTTTGCAGCGGGGGGCTTCCATTTTCGAATCATTTGAGCAGATCTGTTTTGATAGATGGGCTATGAGCTAGCATGCAATCAATGAGCTGCTTTTTTTTTTTGTCTCCGTTGATTTTATTTTTTTTAACCTCATGAGGCAAAAAAGAAGATGTTAGATATTCGCCCAAAGTTCCCGTGAGACGGACAATTCACAGAAAATGACACGCAGCCAGATTTAATCCTACTTTTTGTAATTTTGCACTTACAATTAAGAAATTAATGAAAATGATGCTTAAAACATTGCCTGTACATGGTGTAAAACGGTTTATGGTGATGGCAGTTTGACTCTTGATTTTTTTTTTTTCCTCTCCATTCACAAAAGCCTAATCATGGATGCAGACAAATACTTTCAGCTGTTTCTGGAATGAATAAATGTAAGGAGGGGGGAGGGGGGGGACCTTCCAGAAAGGTTCCACTCAATGACAGTTCGGTGGCTCGAAGAGCCAAGTTAACGCTTACTAATGTGCCAATTACTGGCGCGATCCAAAATGCGTCCCGGAGCTCGTTATGAATCTTAGAAAATAGTCTCATTTAAGACTTGTAGGCCTCCAATCTTGCCCCATCCCTAAAACTACTCATATTTGAAGTGAGTAAATTCAGATTTTTGGCAAAGTCATTGGTATAGGTGATAACTTTTACCTCCACTAGGACTTAAATGAGAGGTTGGCAGTCCTTTCAATGCGACGACAACAGTAAATAAAGCCAACTTGAAGCCGCAACCTTGTTATTCAGACGCTTCTGTTAAATCTCATCAAAATTCCTTGGGTTGACCTCGCAGTACCTGACGGAGGCCATTTTTTATAACCTGCCACCTTTAGTTCATGTTCATCTTGGGCACGAGATGGTATGTGAGAATCAAAGTCACATTTTCTAAGCATATCTTTATTAGTCATAATAATTGAGCATATTTATCCACTTTATAAGGGCATTAAATAAAAACTCGTGTGATTCATCACAATTAATCAATCACGTTAAGTTTAATATTTCAACTTGGGACATATTTCATAATTGTTCACTTCCGCTTGTGCTGTCGTATGTTTACCGGAAAGAAATGCCAGGGAGTGTTTGTGTCAGGGTGGGGGGGACTCAAACGGATCAGGCGACCGTATAAGGTTGCAGGAAGTTGGCAGGGAATTCGGAGAAGTATTTACAGGAAATACCTTTTGAGGATGAAGCAACGAGAAGATGTGATTTTAAGGCATCGCACTGTTACCACTACTATCCACTTCCTGGCACGACGGCGAAAGTCTGAAAACAAGAGCGCGTTGCAGCTTATAGGGAGCACATTTAGATGGTTACCATTGATCAGTAAAATGAAGCGTTAAGAGTCCAGGCATCTTTCCATTGCAGACGTTTGTGTTAGCTCTGTCACATCCAACGTGCCTTCCCCACCACATCCTCGCGAACAATCTACGTCACCAGCTATACATCAGATAGACGGAAAACACGGATTGACCCTGCGAGAGTTTGGCCTCATTTATGTGCAAGTTGTCCTTACTTGACAAGGCAGCAAAAACTTCAGTGTTGTATGATTATATAACATCCATCCATCCATTTTCCGATCCGCTTATCCTCACAAGGGTCGCGGTGGGTGCCTGAGCCTATCCCAGCCTTCTTCGGGCAGTAGGCGGGGGACACCCTAAACCGGTCACCAGCCAATCGCAGGGCAGATTATACAACATAGGGAAAGAATTGAGTCGGATTTCAATAGTGAAGCTGAACAAAACACCGTGTAGAACGCATCAACTCAAAGACTCCTGAAGTTGTAAAATTCTCAATATGCATGAATTTTTATTTATATAGCGGGGGTGTGGGGTGTGTGTATCACTTCAACCAAGAAATAACGAACAAACCCAACAGTGGCTGTTCATTAATCAACCTGAACACTACTTTTGTCACATTATTACGTTCGGCCTGAGGTGCAAAACGCAACAACGAAATCCTTTGTAAGACATCAAAAACACAATAACCAGTGCTGTAGTGATTTTGTGTATACCTCTGCCAAGGCTAAACTGGTAATAAAAAATGAGTTATTATATGAGAGCGCCATCTATATGACTGTCTGTTTTGTCCCAGTACTCAAGTATAGGTTAGTTGGCTACTTCCTGGTTGAATGAGGATTATGGACTGATGAGAGAAGCTATTATTACTCTGCGAGGTGGATGATTTGTAAATATTAAATTCTATATTCCTGTATCCAGTTCACCATTTTCTCCCTTGTCTCATGCATCGACCGAGCCTTCAAAAGGCTTTGCGGGAGGTGTTTTTGCAAAATATGTGTCATTGATTGGTTTCTATGTCAAACGAATGCCATGAAAAAGGTACACATACACACAAAACAAAACAAATGTGGTTGGCCGAAGACATTTGCACTCCACAATAGTTCTTTGTTTGCATTTTCACCTCTCATTCACTCACAGGCACACCACAGGTATGCGATGGGGTGGCGGGGATGTGCTCCGACTTGCCCTTGCTTCCGCCACATTCCGATTTCCCTTGAGCCTCTCCTTGCGTGATCCAGTTTCTTATCCATCGCCGCAGGCCTAAACTCCCGGTCACTGAGCCTCTATGACTGAAGGACACGCATACCATTGAGGGGAGAGAGAGAGAAAAAAAAAGAAAAAGAAACATCTCATTGCTTTCATCGCAACCATTGTGCAAATTGTGTAAACGTTTTTTGAAGCCGTGTGTACTTAAGGATGGATCAATGCTTTGCGAATAATGAAAACTGTGACAGTCGAGAATATGTTTGTCTATTTCCAGATCAAAGTTTTTTCCTCACGTTCCCCGCCGCTTTATCCTGACTCAGAAAGTTTCGGTTAGGAGTGCTCGGCTTGACTCATTGGGGCCAATTAGGAATAGGCGTTGCCGCCATTCAAATTAATTGTCAATGTTTCATTCAGTCAAATCCTTCCACATCTCCTTCAGAAAGAACAAATGATAAAAAGCAGAGCATTTGAATCCAAAAATGTTTATTCAGTTTAGTGTTTGCTTTTGCGGGTTTAATTGTATTTGGGATTTTGAATATAAGGTTGTTTTTTTTTTTTTTTTTTTTTTTTTTTGGGGGTTTTTAAATTAAGGTTTTTTTTTTTTTTTTTTTTTTTTTTTTTTTTTTGTCTCTTCTTCAATGGGGGCTCCAAGAAAATGTCATTGTTCCTCTGATTCCGGTCTTGTGAAAATAATAAATAATAAATAAAACTTTTAAAAAATAGAAGTAAAAGTCACCTGGTAGAATATTACTTGAGGAATTCTTAAAAGTATCTTGACGCTTACTGTGTTGGGTACTAATTCATTCACTGTCAATTAAATATTAAAAAAAAATGGACATTAAATCCCAGCGACATAAGTAATTTTCTGGTATTGTATGTACTTAAGTATTGGAACTAAAAGTTTAAAAAAATTGTGGATGATTAGTTATTTAAATTTATTTATTTATTTATTTATTTATTTATTTATTTATTTATTTAAATCCATTTTATTTATTCAAATCCAACGTGTATTTATTGAGTTTACCCAGGAGCCGGGAAGGGGAGACTACCGTTGCGCCCATATAAAGACTTCCTGTTCAATTGTGATGTTCTGTTGAATTTATGACATCCTCTTACCGGCACCCCTCCCACATCAGTTCAGGCAGGCTGACTGTTCTGCTATGTGCTCTGCATTTCAGGCAATTACGTCAACGCACGTTCTCGATTTTATTTTATAGGAGCAAAGGTTAGGGGAAAATGTATTAGAGTTGAAGTCGTTATTTTATTTGGATCATGCCGTAGCATAAAAGTGAGTGAAAGATAAATTAACAAAGTAAAGTACAGATCGCTATTAAAAAAAAACAAAAAACGTTCAGGTCCATTTATGATGCATGAAAGTGACAACACATTTGAAGCAGTCGTACAGCACAGCAAACTACAACCACAATAATATTCTGCGCATTGTTAATGGTTTCACTCGATGTCTCTGGATTTCATTTGGTTTCCAAGTTGTTTGGTTGATTTATCTTCATTTCAGGGGACGCCACAGTGACCATCGCTCACAGATGTACACCAAGGGAGCGGCTCAAGGAGCTAACCAGCCTGGCAGACATCATTGTGACCGCTGCAGGTGATTCAATGACCAATTGGTTTGTTCATTTGGGAAAACTGCTCACCAACCACCGCTCCATGTCTCGTGTTGAAACAAATCCACTCTCATCCTCACCCCGCCGTTCGTCTAAGTGGCGCGGAGAAAGTTAAGCTGTTGCCGAGTGACTTGAGAGACTCAAAGAAAATACACGCTTTGGTAGTTCATCCATATCAGTCATGTCAGTGGGCGTCGTGTAAACTTCCACCTTAAGTGATGGAGTGATGGGAGTGTTGCACGGGACTTAAGAGATGACGAGAGAAAGGAAAACAAGTTGATCTTTTGTTACATACTATTCTTCGGCTATGTGTGTGTGTGTTTAGGTGTTCCCGGTTTGATCACAGCAGACATGGTGAAAGAAAGCGCCGCGGTCATTGACGTGGGCATCAACCGCATTGTCGACCCCAAAACGGGGAAACTGAGGCTCATCGGTGACGTGGACTTTGAGGGTAATTACTTGGTTTGAGTTTTTACTTGTGAACACACTCGCACACATGTTAAAGGGATCAACAAAAAGTGGACTGCAAATTAGAAAAGGGAAATTAATGAGGTAGAAGATTGCTGTCTTTGATGATGCAATGGCTTAATGGCTTTTTTTTGCCCCCCCTGAAAATGTTTTTTCAAAATGTGAGCGTTGACCTAATTCAGCGATGTGATACTGGAGTTTGTGTCAAAATCCAGATGTATAGAGGGAACCCCGGCTATACTTACGTACTGTACTTGCCTACAGATGCCACAAGATGGCAGCAAAGGACCACTTTTCGTATAAATGAAGGGCATCAACTGTTTCAACAGTTATTTGGCTGGAGGCTAGGTTTAAAAAAAAATTAATAACAATAGGCGAATTTGTGAACGCTAAAAGAAATGAATGAATGAAAATGCAAAGTTACATTTGAAAAGATTTTTTTTTTTTTTTTTTTGGTCAAAAGGACCAATAAAGGCTCCAGTTTTGACGAAATTAGACTTCTCTGTCAATTATTTAAAACAAGGAAGGGCAAGTACCAACACCAGGTATCAGTATCAGGCCAATACAGGCCTTATTTCAAAATTATTTATACGTCATGAGGATTGAATGAGTTAATAGTTCTGGCTCTCCAGGGTTTAACTAGCTGCGCTGTGATTTGCATCGGAGTTCGGTCCAACTCTGTTGACCTCACACACACAAGGATTTGTGATAAATATTGAACAGGTTTAACATTTATAATCGTTTTAAAATTGGGCAGGGAAAATCACCACCGCCGTATAATCTGTCGGGACCATCTTTAGAGACTGCGTATGGTCGTAAATGGGGTGAAATTATTCATCGGTATGGGCGTAGCTCACGTTAGCGGCTAAAAAAATGACAGGAAAAAAGAGGGTTGGCCTCTGTTTCTGAATTGCGGTGTTTGTCACCCTTGTTGCAGGTGTAAAAGAGAAGGCCAGCTTCATCACTCCCGTTCCTGGAGGTGTGGGTCCTATGACGGTGGCCATGTTGATGAAGAACACCGTGACCGCTGCCAGAAATGCGCTGATGCATTAGCATGATACACAACGTGATGCACACACACTTTCTGGAGACCTTTTTTTTTTTTACCATGACGTCACAAAAAAAAAAAAACTTCCGGGTGGCAAAAGATCCAACGATTTCTAATCTCACAAATGAACAAACGTTGCCAAGTCATTTGAGGGATTGCGAAACCAGAGGAAATTACTGCAGCGATGGTTTTCGCCTTCGACTCGACTACCATTGTTTGAATTTGTGACATGTCAGTCGAAAATATGCTCCGTAAAGTCAGTTGCTTCCAAGGGAGATGGAACGCAGAAGCCAATTCAAAAATAGAAGTGGTAGAAATTCAGAAAATGTCAACATGATCATTGATCTGGCTAATTCAAGGACTTTTATGTTGCTTGGATTCAAAGGAGAAATCGAGTCAAATAATGTCTTTAAAACAATATATTCTATGTGGCCCCACTTGTCTAAACGCGCTATTCTGATGATGATGATTTGTTTGCATTCATCTCAGAGGGCAGCCATTTTGCCACTTCCTGTTGACCGAAAATGACATCACCATTGCTCCGGGAACCACCGCTAGCGGCTCAGCTTGCGAACGTCACGTGACCAAACTCAGAAAACAGGTGAACCGTGATTGGTCTTTACCTGAACCTTAAGCAACCGTGAGGTCATTTTCAGTCCACAGCAAGTGGCAGTACGAAGCAAGATGGCCGCCCCCTGAGATGGATAATGGTGGATGTTCATGCTTAATTCACATTACACAAACGCAGTATTAATCAGAATACCGAGTCTCGACTAGTGGGGTCATTTAGAACATGTTATTGGGGGGGAATGTTGCGTTTACTTGCCAGACTTGCTCTTTTAACAGTGAAATGGTTAACGTATTGTACCTTTCACATTAGCGAGCAGGCTAGCCATTACGTTTTGCTAAATTACTCGAAACCAAACAGTATACATGGCTGTGTGAAAATGCCTTCCACATACCCGTTTGCAGGTGGCTAGCTCACTTGTAGCCTGTCGCGATCTTCACTGTACAACTGTTAGCAACACTACTCGATGTATCCTCCCCACACAGATTCCACTGGATTGATTTTTTTTTAAAGTATTTTTTGAAAAACTAAACCTTTTGGGTTCATCAAGTTATTTTGGGTTCATCAAGTTATTTTCCCTTGTTTTCAGTTAATTTCAGTGGTAGTCATTTTTTTTTCTGCCACCTGGAAGTACTCTGGTGCCTATTGTTTACAAACATTCTGAAAAGCTATACAAAGCATCGAGACTCCACACCTGCTTACTTGAGACATTTATACTATGTTCTTTTTCTTGGCTTGTTTGTAATTACTTATTTATTTCTTCTTATAAGAGTTCATATTTTTTCTACCAAGGACATTTTGGGTTTCACGGAAAGTGAAAATGAAATAAAGCGTGCTTCGGATGCTCTCAAAAAAAAAGGAGTGTCATGTTTTCAAGTGCCAAGAGTGGTCATAAAGCGCACGCCGCGTTGAAACGAGCCTCCGGGTGATTCCGCCCCCACAACAACTCTCCTCACGCTCACCACCTCAGCTGGACCTGTCTGTGCATGCAAAGTACGTGGGAATAAAAGAAATGTGATGTAAGTTTTTTTCTTTTTTTTTGGAGTGGTGGGGGTTGAGGAAGCTGTCTCAGTTCTTTGGAAGCTTTTTTTCCTCAATAAGTTGTGATGGAAAAAAAACCTCCCCGTGGTTGGTAGCTCGACGTATATAAATTTCAGAGGATGTTCAGTGGCACTGCATCGCAGCAACGATTTTAAGAGCGAGACGAAATGTTAATGCAGAGCCTCAAAGAGGGTGAGTTCTTCGTTTGTCAGTTTGTTTGATATGAAAGTTAAAATACTGCAGCTTTGCCTTTATGGTTTAAAGATGGAATTCTAACAGTTGCTCTTTTTTTTCCCTCCCCAGGCGTCCTTTCAGCCATCCTTCTTCTCCTGGCAGCGTCGGGACAGTCGGCACAAACCACAAGTAACAATCACTTCTTCGACGTTCCATTTGATTTCATAGAGAACTACAATAATAAGCATTGCTAAACATCCGAGAGGGTCAGATAAAGCTGACGTCCGCCTCAGACTGAGGTTTGAACATTGTGACTTATGGAGCGAAAACAGATCCCAACAATGATAAACCACGTTCAATGAAAAGCTTCTCTGACAAAAATGGATCAAAACTGAGCATTTTTATTACAACTCTTGTATCTCATTAGTGTGATGATGGGTACCTCTCTGAATGTATTTCAATGCCAGTACGTATTTATGAATTAGAACTGATAGAACAGAAATTGGAAAACACGCTTCCCCAGTAGTTGTGGATTTTTATTTTTTATTTTTTTGTTCCATCCATCCATATGGATATACCACCATATACACGTGTATGGTGGATAACAATATTTGCTCTGTGCAGGCAGCACAGAGGATCCTCTGCTTTTGAGTTCCCACAGGCCGTGTGGAAGCCAAAACCAGCACTTCTGTCTAAACGGCGGCACATGCATCTACCCCCAAGATACCACCAAACCCTTTTGCATGTGAGCTCACAAACACACACTTGAACCGACACATCCGACGAACTCGCCTTCGTGTCGGTTTGTGTTGTCTCTCTCTCTGTCTCCCTGGAACGCGCTTACCCATTTTCCCCTGTGCAGCTGCACATCTGGCTTCAGCGGAAATCGCTGCCACTACGACCGCAAAGTGGACACCATGTTCTCTCAAAGTCACATTGCTGCGGAGCACCTCATCTCTCTCAGCTGCGGGGCGGCCCTTCTCATCTTCATTCTGCTCTTCATCACTTATTGCGTCGTCCGCACGAGGTGAGTAGCTTTGTGACGTGGATGAATCATGCATCGATGCAATCATTTGGCGCCTTATCGATTGTATGATTTATGGAGAGTGGTTAGTACATCCACCGTCTTCAAGTGAGACAGATGAGTCCAACAAATGTTTTTATTGTTTAGTATGAGTAATTTTTGGGCTTTTTTGAACAGCCTCTCTGTGGTTTGATGCCGTTGTTTGTTCACGACTTATTTTTGAAGCATGATACTTGTTTGCTTTCAGGTGCAGAAAATCTGAAAAACAAATGGAATCTGCACCAACTGAGGTTACAGTGTGACATCCTCCCGATATGTTCATCAACCGTCTTCATCGCTGCTGCATTTTAGCATACATAAGAGACATAGAAACAAACATTTCTTTTCATTTGCACAAAGCGACCGTCAGTAATGTTTTCTACCAATCACAAAACACACAAGAGTAATGAAACGCTGTGCGATTATAATTTAAAGTACATGAAAATGTGAGTATTTATTGTTATAACTTATTTTATGTTCAATGTATTTATTTTTTTCTAATAAATGAATGACTTTTTAACTGTATCTTTTTTCCCCCCTAACTCACCCTCCCGCCCACCTTTAGTCACACTGAATCAATTTTTGCATTATTTTATTTTAATATTAAAAAATGGCAGAATTCACTTACCAAAGAACTTGAATAGAATGTATTTTTATACAGTTGCATCTCAATAAATGTGAATATATTCTGAACATTTATTTCAGTTGTTTATTATGAAAGTGAAAAACATTTATTTCAGTTGCTTATTATAAAAGTGAATCTCATACAGACTCATTCAATATTATAAAAGTGAATAACATTTATTTCAGTTGTTTATTATAAAAGTGAATCTCATACAGACTCATTCAACAGGAAAAAAAAACTTTTCAGAAGGACAATTGTTATTTAATCTTGATATTAACAATGATTCTTGATTATTTTTCATAGTATATTCAAAATTTCTTGATGGTGAATATCTGAGTTGCCGTTAGCAATAATCGTCAATCATAGTCATTTAGGGGCCCAAAACAAATTCAGTTCCTGCATAATGAACGGGTTGTTGCCCTGCACTGACCTGATCGTTCCCCAAACCTTAATCCAATTGAGCATATCTGGGGCATGTCTCGTTCCATACATCAATACCATTTTGCGCCAAGACTGTCCAGGAGATGAATGATGGTTTAATCCAGGTCTGAGAGGGGATCCATCAGAAGACAATTCTCCATCTCATCAGATGCATGTCCAGGCATTGGGAGGTCATACGGGCACAAGGAGGTCACACAAATTAACTGAGCCTCATTTTGCCTTGTCCTGAGAATTTTCCACTACAGTCGCATCAGCCTGTATTCCGAGTTTCCACTGTAATTTTGACTAGGATTTAAAAACCAGACCTCTTTGGGATTATTATTTGTTTTTAATTTTACATTGATTCGTGTTGTATTGCAGTATATTGCTTTCAACTCATTTCGCTTAGTGATTAGTGATAGAGATAAGATGTTTAACTAGGATGTATTATTTTAGTGTGCCCTTTATTTATTTTAAGGGGCACAGGCTATATATATGAAATATTTCATTCTGTGTACTGATTCCTGATTCTACTCTCTATTACTTTAACTTTTTTAACTGAACCACTGAAATGAATATTTTCCACGACATTGAGATATTACAAAAATGCACTTTTCATTTGCCCTATAACACCGATTCAGGAATGATCCATTCATTAATGTCAGCGAAGTTATTATTACATTTTGAGAAAATCTGTACTTCGGGGTCAAAACTGACACTAAACATACAAAGTGTGTATGAAAAATGAACACTAAAGCGTTGTTATCTCGTAATTTATAATTCTTGGAATAAACTCTCTGACATGGACACTCAAAGGTGAGCATTTTTTTTCTTGTAATATAAAAATGATAATATAGCGTGAGGATCCGTGGGATGTGTCGCTGTTGGGTGGGTGGACTTGATTCAACCGCCAATTACGTGACTGAATCGCAAAATGAAGAATTAATGGTGATGACGACAATGATGATGCATTCAGGACCCGTCTCTAACTGTAGGATGTTTTCCTTTCTTATCTCCAAATCAATGACAGTCTGTTTTTCGACCGCACCCACTCGCCCACCTCATCTCACCGTTAAATTAGTTGGTTAGCGACATCCACCACACCACAACACGCAACACAACATTGAAAACACGACAAAGGCATTTTTGCACACTCTACCAGAACTGAAATCACGCACGTTACCTTCCCAAATGGCAAAAGTGTCAGCTCTCCTCTCAACTTTCGGTAAGTCAGAATTTCTTTTACATGCTTTTCGGAGACGTTTTGCCAGACTCGATTGCTTTAAATGTGATATGCTAAATCGCGCATATCTTAAAGAGACTGCAAAAAGTAACATTTGAACAAAGCGTATAAAAACTTTAAAGTATTTTGATGTCGTACATCCTGTCGGTCATGTTTTAACACAGTGTTGATTAATATCTGAAAACAATAAATTCTCGTTTATATGTGGTAGGAAATATATCATTCTGTGGTTAATGAATGTAAAAATTTTGAATTGAACAACCAAAATAAGTCAAGTTTTTCACCCATCCATTATCCGAACCGCTTATCCTCGCGAGGATCGCATCACATTCTAGACATTGAGCTGTTTCAGCAAGGAGCAATCCGTCTTTGTTATTAAAGTAAACCAAGCAGCACATCGCGGCTGAACTGATAAAACGTAGCAACACTTGGTCCTTCAAAATGTTTCTCATTCTTTATTACTCTACGCTCATTTATAGGCAAGTGAATGGAAACCAGGGATAAAACAAGATGAACCCCCTCCAATTGCACTTTAAAGTTCCTAATCCTTACTTTGTACTCTCTTATCATCATTCCAGCACTAGAACTACAGTCTTAATGTGTAACTTTTCATCTGCATCAGTCTTACACACCACTAAACTCAATGTCACTTTTTTGTTGAACACCAGTTTTCTCTTTATGCTCATAATGCTCCAAAATAATCTGCCTCTCCAAATGGCAACTACAACTTGTTTGATCACTTATTTTCTGCTTCCGGATGCCACTGTGATGTGAGCAATCACTGTGGATAAGGTCCGCCTTTATACACCCCCTGACAGCTAAATGATACTCTTAACAAGTGAAGCCGGATAAACTCCATTGTCCAGTCAGTTGGCAAAAAGAGGAACCCCATACAATATTAGTATTCATTGTTCGGTTGTGTGTGGTTTCACACTTGCAGCGTTTATGTTATATTCATCCAAATTCCAAGGGGTTGTTAACATTTTTGTCATGTTGTAATATTTACTGTATTTTCACTTTATTGGGGACTTTAAGGAGTTGGGCAGGTGCACCCACGAATTATTAAGAGGACAAGATGAACAAAAGAAGGAGACTTTAAACCAAACGACAGCCTATCATAAATCAGGAGTCATCACAAAAGTCTGAGGCAATGGTGGTGGAATTCCGAAGTCAAATTTCAATTGGTCTGATTGTCACCGAGAAGATCCCGTGTGTCAGCAACAGATCCTGATTAAGTATGTGACCCCCCCCTCCCCCCGCTCCCTCCGGCTAGATTTAAACACCTTCCTAATCATAAGACGGGGGGTGAAAGTGGAGGCGTCATATGAGCCCTCTCTTCACATCAGACAAATAAAACCAGAATGATCTGGTTTTTCTGGCGTTGGCTAATATCGTCTGGTTGCAGAAATGAGTCTCCAGCTTTGTCGTCAAACAAGTAAAAACATGAAAAGAGGGCAACGGGATATGTGGATCAGAAAAAAAAAAAAAGGAGTCCTCAGGGTAAATCATTGATTTTTTCTTATCTTTTCATATTTAAGTGCTTTACAATAGTTTAATGAATTGTTCTTTTTAATACTTTTTGACCTGTAAACTATTTACTGTTATTAACTTGCAAACTAAAACACGTACATTGTTACTGGATTGACTACCAATAGAAGGAACCCCTACAAATGCTGTAGTTAGTACGAATACTCAAAGTGGTATAAGTGGTAGTGGTATTAATAGTCATAGTATCAACTGTAGTAGTATCAGTGGTAGCAGTAATAGTTATGTAGAGCGCGAGCATTGCAGTGGTCTATACTGCATTGTGGTCGTGGGTCTTCAATGGACTCTTAAGTGACCTGATCCATCTCTTAACACCCCTACTAACATGTGGCAAAATAATCTACAAAAACGCAATGTAACTGTGCGGTGATGAAATTTTCTTTCGTAGCTGCCAAACAGTGTCCACATTTGTACCCCGTCGATTTCGATGTGTGCGTCATTTCCTGACAGCTCCTGATTTCTCAAGCACCTTCCAATTTCGATAACCAGGATTCATCGTTTTCATTTTTTTTAAATTAATAAGTACCTTTTAAATTGTGACTAATTTGATAATCACATAAGAAAACAATTAATATTAGTCATTTGAAAGAAAAGAAAAACCCGCAACATTCTTCGTCACCGCATCCAGCTCTTTTATTACAGCGAGAGGAACACTCAACAAACAATCAATTGTGTCTCGTCACGTAAATTTGAAAAATGTTTTATCACTCAGGAATGTGGCCAGTGGAGACATGTGGCAAATCTGTTTTTTTGATGCACTCTACAATGTTACATAACGTGTAATATGAAAGGATCGGTGTTGTTTTGTGTTCAACAGGTATCATGCTGTTGTGGCCTTTTGTCCTGACAAAGAGCATGTCATCGATACTTCACGCGACTCACGCTGACTCCTCCGTGTCTGCAGGTACACAGGCTTGACGGATAAATAGATGGATAAACGACACATTTTTGTGACCTCAGAAATTAGACCAAAATAAAATCATTTCAAAACCTTTCTGAAAATCAGTGTGACTTAAAACTTTTAAAGAGAAGACATGCCGATATGTGCCTCTAATTAACCCCAAATAAAGTTCAGCAGTTTTTTTAGGCTTTTCTGAGACATATATTTCGAGTATTAAGTACAGTATTCTCTATGCTGCTGCTTCCACCTCAGGCCATGGAGAAGAGCGCTCCCATGTGGTGAAACGCTCCACCCAGAACTGTGACTCCTCTTATGCCAACTACTGCATGAACGGAGGTCAGTGTATGCTGCTGGTGGATGTCAAGGAGCACCATTGCAAGTAAGTGTGTACACATATTTATCTATATCACAATGCAGAGGTGCATGGTTCGAATTTACATGTTCTCCCCGTGCCTGCGTGGGTTTTCTCCGGGTACTCCGGTTTCCTCCCACATTCCAAAAACATGCATGGCAGGTTATTGGAACACTCTAAATTGTCTCTAGGTGTGATTATGAGCGCGGATGTGTGCCTTGCGCTTGGCTGGCACTTTTTTTTTTCTTGTGATAAATTATGTATGACATGAATGCACTCGGCAGGTGTCACAGCGGTTTCTACGGCCCCCGCTGTAGTAACCTTGAGCTGGTCTTCAAGCCAGTAGGAGAGGGGCAGCCACGCTTCAACTCTTTAAAAGATTTCTGTATTATTATGAGTACAATATTATTTATTCCAAATTGTAATAAATAATTTATTACTATTATTTTATACAAATTTAATACATTTTGTTTCTTTTATTCGCTCGTATTTTTTGATGTCGTTGGGGAAACAACATTTGAAAATATCATTGGCCGAACAGCATAGTGTCATATTTGAGTGTTTTTCGAAGACGTTGAAAAACACATTTTAGCAAGCATATTTTATTATTAATTTGGGAACACTAAGTTAAAAATTATTGGGCAATTTTGCTGGTAAGCTAACACACAAGCACATCTTTGAAATCCTTATGGGGAAACTACATTTCCAAATAAATGCCGTTAGTATCGTGTCCAAATCCAACCCTTCTGTTGAATTGTAATGAGGAATCTGTTGACTTAAATTTCCAAATTGGTGATAGTATTGTTTTTCAGTCAAATGTTGCTGGGCAAAACACGTTATTTTCAGTCCTTGTTGTGTGTTTGTATTGCAGGTACAAGAAAAATAAATGCAATCCCAAACAGAAGCGACATGGCTATAAAGGAGTGCAGACAGCGTAGCGTTTCCACGCTGGAAATGACGACATGAACCCTTTTTGTCACTTTTTTTAAAAAATGTGTTTATTTTTAATTGAAATCTTGCATTTTAGCTTTTGGCATGGTGCAAGCTTGTATTTATTTATCATGTTCTGCTTTTCCTGACCCTTTAAAAAAAATCATGTGTTTATTTAGAAAGGATGTTGATAATTTATTATTATAAAGATCTTATGTGTATACTGAAAGTTCTGCCACAAACCAATAAAACAGAACATCTTACACTGATTTATTTTATAATTGTCATGTCTTTTACTTTTACATTTCGCCACACTTAGGTCCACTCTCTTACAGTGGGACATCCAGTTTGACGTAAAGGGGACATACAGTGTATTATAATTTATTCCCAGTTTTGGTCAAAATACCTCAAGAATTACAGCAGCGTCTTGACGTACAAATTTAATTTGATTGGTAAGCACTTATGTAACCCAGAACACATATATTGCAAATCATCTTGAATCATTGAAATGAATGGCTAGGCCACTAATCCATTCCTGCCCCCACATAAAACACCAACAGCACTTTGCAACTTGTTTTCATTTTGAAAAAAATTTGCAATTTGGTGTATTTTATAAGAATATCAAAAAGGAATAAGATAATTAAAGTGATTGTAAGGAATTACTGTATACAATTTGTGCATCATAATTTCATGAATTCATTGTGAGGCTCTCGCACCTTGGCCACCAGGGGACATTAGAATTGATATGGATATACAGTACACAAAGAAAATGGTCGGGCTGCAGTGATATTTATCTTTTTATTTATTGATTTATTTTTTGCTGAGGATAAAGAATACATGCCAGTTTAAAGCAGTTGTGTAGCAGTGAGTGTCGCGCTTCACTAGGGTGTGGATGTTTCTGCATGATAGTGACTCTGGAGCTTCAACCAGCCTGATCACTTAAGGGAGGAGAAGTACAAAAAGAATAAAATTAATTTAATCAGTTGGTGATCTCACTTTTGCATTCTTTTCAATCAGGGTTTTCAATCGTTTTTAATTTCAATTATATTTTTGTTAGACTGACTGGAGTTGTTTGTATGAGATTTAAACATTTGTTTTTCTAAAATGTTGACCCATTTGTTTTATTATTTGATTTAGTTTTTTTTTTAATATAAATGGTGCATTTGTTGAATTCAACTCACAGGTATTGTCTCATAAAGTAAATTACAATTCCTAAACAGCTGTTCGTCCTTCCTTCATCTGTATAATAAATAATAATAAAAATATAGCAAAAAAACCCAAAACATTAAAAATCAACCTCAAAAGCTCGTATATGACATCACTTGACAAATATGAAAACAAAAGACATTTCTGCTCTAATTACAATCAATTTGAATTGGTTTCCGTAACATAAAATATTAGTTATCTTTTTTAAAAACACTGGCATTTTTATTTTCTGCGCTGACAAAATAATCTCTCTCAATTTTCATTTTAATGATTTTGTTGGATTTTCATTTACAATAATCAACTTCACTCCAACCAGAAAAGATAATTTGCAAGACAAATGTTTTGTTACGAACGTGGCTGCGAAAGGAATTGCACCGTTGTATAATGCAAAAAAAAAAAAAAAAACGATGCCTTGTGACGCTCGTGTGTCGGGTTAATGTATAAGCACCATTTATACTCCACAGCCCCTTATTAGTTCCTAAAATAGACTCAGTGAGCTGTTTCTAATGACCGAATAGGTCCTGTCAGTGTACTCTCTATGCTAATCGCACCGATAATCACACGTAAACATTAACGAGACATTTGCGGCATTGTTACCCTGCTTCGACAGAATTGCGCTATTCCTCGGAGGTCCGTGGATGTTGTGGTTATGATGGCATTGTTGCGAGTCAGTGGGTCAGTCAGTGGAAGCTTTGCACTAATCCGCATCTTTGCATGTGCTCCGACACAATTTAAAAAAAACAAAAAAAAAAACTGTACACGTGCAGCAGACGCACGTTTTGGATGAAGCTACTGTCTTGACAGGTTGACAGCTTGCAGTTGGGACCAGAAGTATTGGGTCAATGTTTGTGCCTTTATACACCAGTGCAGTGGATGGATTTAAAAGTACTGGTATATGAACATGTGGCAAGGGCGCCCCGGTAGTCCAGTGGTTAGTCGACCTCACAGTGCAGAGGTACCGGGTTCGATTCCAACTCCGGCCTTCCTGTGTAGAGTTTGCATGGTCTCCCCGTGCCTGTGTGGGTTTTCTCCGGGTACTCCGGTTTCCTCCCACATTCCAAAAACATGCATGGCAGGCTGATTGGACACCCAAAAATTGTCCCTAGGTGTGAGTGTGAGCGCAGATGGTTGTTCGTCTCTTTGTGCCCTGCGATTGGCTGGCAACCGGTTCAGGGTGTCCCAACTGCCCAAAGACAGCTGGGATAGGCTCCAGCATGCCCTCGACCCTTGTGAGGATAAAGCGGATCAGAAAATGGATGGATGGAACCTATGACCAAAGTGTCGACATTCACGGAGAATTCCAAGTATTTTGGATGTGGGGAGAATGGTTTTTTTTTCCCCCAAGGACCCAAAAATAATCATCTTTTTTCAGCAAATAAAATGTAATATTTACAAGACACAACGAGGTATTTTGTCTGGATGGAAAATCGTAATCTGACAAGAACAATTCATCCATCCATTTTCAACACCGCTTATCCTGAAGAGGGTTCACAGGGAGTGGCTGGAACCTATTCAAGCTAACTTGGGGCAAAAGGCAGACTCCACCCTGAACTGGTCGCCAGTCAGTCACAGGGCACATATAGAGACAAACGACCATTCATGCCCGCATCATCACTAAGTGGGACCCGGTCCCACGCTGCCCACACACAAGTCCAGCGAGTGTACCACTACACCATCAGCATCATTACAAGATTAATATTCTATGGTAATATTGCAGGGTTGTGGAATATTTCTGTACACAGACACTGAAAGAACACTTAAGTGCATGTAATGAGTGTGTCTGGACTAATTCCTAATTGCACAGACACTCCAGTTTCATTGGTACACTTTGTCCTGACAGATGAAGCTATTTTTATATTTTGTCTTAAGATGCAGTATGTGCGTGCGTGTGTGCGTGCGTGTGTGTGTGTGTGTGTGTGTGTGTGTGTGTGTGTGTGTGTGTGTGTGTGTGAGGGCGGCTGCGATGAGGTGGTTCCCCCAAGGCTTTTTGTCAGACTTTCCACCCACGTTAATATCAAGGGGCTCTTCCAACGCCATGACACGTAACCCATGTTGGGGTGAGAGAACAAAACGTGCCGAGAACTCCCAGCATTCCACACACAGGGATTCCAAGGAGACAGCGAGGATGGGCAGACACAACAACAACAACGCTCACACCCTCGCTGCCCTGCCGAAAATGTACAAGAATAATAACACGGGGCATCGGTTCATCTGATACAAATGCACACACACACACACACACACACACACACACACACACACACACACACACACACACACACACACACACACACACGCACACATACAGTTAAAAATGTCAATATATATCTGTTATGAAATAAATGATTACACATGTATAATGTGTTTCGAAACACATTTCGGGATTCATTTTACGTGATCTTAATGTTTAATTTGTGCATAATGTTACAGTTGACAACCAATGACAAATCACGGCTCAGCTTGTGAGTGTCATGTGACCAAACTCAGAAAACAGGTGAGCAGTGATTGGTCGTTACCTGAGACCCGAGCAACTGTGATGTCATTTTCAGTCGACAGCAAGTCGCAAAATGACCGCCACCTGAAATGGATAAAGATAAGTGGGTTTGACTACTTAGCTTAAAATCAGTTTCCACAAATATTAATCAGAATACCGTGTTTCGACTATCAGGCCGGATAGAACATATTATTGTACAGAAAATGTTTGACTAGACTTTCCCTTCAATAAAATGAAAACCTTTTTAGGAATAAAACCTCTGCCTCATTCTTGATGAACAAGCCAGTATAGTCGTTAAGTTGAATGGTTACCATCACAATTCAGGGCTTACTAATAAATTATTCATCAATTCAAAATTTGAAAACTAAGAAAATTAACACTTAAAAAAAACCTCAAGTGCCAACTCCCGGATGACCATGTGATTTTCACAGACGAATGCGCACCTACAATTTTTTACGTGACCATATAAGGAAAGAGGAAGTCATAACAATTAAGGAGGGAAGAACAAAATGTGGCTAGTGAGGTTTTTTTTTTTTTAATGACCAGGAGAACCAAGACGGAATATATGAATGGAATATACGCTGTTTCTCATTCATTATTGCTCTATAGTGTCCTTTTTGTGTGGTTTAGGGATGCAAAATGTGTCTGTTGCCCCAGGCTTGTTAATCATTACACACATACACACACACACACACACACACACACACACACACACACGGACAGCCCTATTTCTCCTTGGGCCACAAAGGCAGGCGTGCGTCTATAAAGGCTGCACACAATCCCAGCACAGGTTAAGTGAGCACAGCACAGCCTCCTTCACCCACACTTGTCGGACTAGCAGACCTTCCGACACACACACTCTCTCTCTTGGGATATGAACACCTTCATCCTCACCTGCCTCCTCTGCTCCGGTAAGTCAACTCCTTGGTCGTGTTGACGCAACGGACGAGGAAAAGCGAGCGGAAGGGTAAAAATGAGAAAGGTCGATGCGAGTGACGACTCGTCTGGCAGGAGGAAGGAATTTTTGCTCGTGTGACAGCACCGCTATTGAACGGCGAATTGGCTCATGCAGACCACGTGTTTTCTACTATCACATGAGAAATAACTATAAATAAGTGACAAGAAATTGTGTGCTTCTCAACAATTAATCTGTTCAAGTCCTAGACAGGCACTACTCGATCATCTATGATGGGAAAGCAGACTGAACCATCCTCAAATGGATCCACCTATCTATATCTATATATCTATATACAGTAGAGTGTATATAGATAGATATACATATGTGTGTTTTTGTGTATTTATATTTATGAACATGTATATGTATCTATGCGTATATCTGGGTATGTACATGTACCGGTATGTATATGTTTGTATATAGGTGTGTCCGGGCTTACGTGTCCTCTCTGGTGTTTTCAGTACTTTTCAGTGTTCTGGCCGCTCAGGGATCTGAGGCATCGTCGTCTGGTGAGCTCGGCAGTGTGACTGTGGGCTTGGCCTCAGGGGAGGGCCTCCGGGTTCTCCAAGGCGATGTTGAAGACGACGTGGACTTTGAGGAACTCGCAAGTACGTTTCTTTACATTCCAGTGAAAAAAAGTGCTTCGTTTTAAAGGAAGAAGACATTTTTTGTACAGAGTTCAATGCAGGAAATGCACAGAGTTCATCCATAGCTTCCTACCTAACGTCTTCCAGGTGAGTTCCTGAGAGATGACAGGAAGAAGAAGAAAGGCAAAGGCAAGAAGAAGAACAAGCAGAAGAGCAAGGGCACCACGGCGTTCAACCCCGAGCATCCTTTCTCCACTCAAGGCCACACCTCCGCCGTGGAGCCCACCGAGGACCCCTGCACCTCCACTCACCTGGACTACTGCATCCACGGCTATTGCCAGCGCATGGAGGGCCTGCGAGAGCCCGTCTGCATGTGAGTCCACAGACAAGTTCTTTTTTATAGAGAGGGGAATGTCCGTGGTGGGAAGAGCAAGAAGAAGCTAACTCTCGCCTGTCAGGGGGTCGCCACAGCAAGTTACTCGCACGATATGTTGGGCACAGTTTTTACACCGGAAGCCCTTTGTGGCCTAAACCTATCCCCTGACATTTTTTTTTTGGGCTGCCTGTCCTGAATAATTTTGACCATTTTGCAGCTGTATGAAGGGCTACCACGGCGAGCGCTGCGGGATCCAAGTGTTGGGGAACACCGGGCCCCAGTCCGAGCGCACCGTCGACATCGAGTGGGTCCAGATGGCCTTGGTCATCACTGCCATCGTTCTGTCCTTAATCAGCTGCACTGCCGTCATCCTCATGGCCTGCGCACAGTGAGTACAGCACTTTTTATACAAACAAAATGAAAAGAAAAAGAAACTCCAGGTGCTTCACGTGAGTTTAAAAACGGAGTTCTGAAAGATATGAAGGTCCTACACCATTAAGACATTTAAAAATCAATCATAAAAGCCTTAATCAATCCTAAAACACATGGGGAGCCAGTGCAAAGATAAGATAAATTGCTTTCCGGTCTTAGTCAGGAGGTGTGTTGCCGAGTTGTGCAGTAATTGTAGACATGAAATTCTCTTTTTATTTCTCCAAAATCTATCTACAATAAATAAAGAAAGTGAGCCAATCCAGAATGTCCCAAAAGAAAATGTGATTTAAAAAAAAAATTATTTTGAATGAGAGTGCCGATGATTATAGAACATAAGGATGATCCGGATCCACTTTTTTTCAAACAGAGTAGTCGGTGGGCTCATCGTCGATTTTGCAGAGCATAATTTGCTTACAAAGTGGTGTCATCCATGATTTACACGAAAGTATCTCCACATGGTGCCTTCTCTCCCTACCTAGAAATCAGGCTGGTAAAGTGGTATCTGTGTCGTAGTATCGAAGCTTTTTCTTTTTGTTGTTTTTTTTTTTTTGGGGGGGGGACTGAGGCTTAATGCAGTCTTGCAGTATTGGAACCGATACGAACTATAGTGCATCCCTAATAGGGAGTAGTAGCTATCTTAACCTCATCAATATCAAATTTTCATTACAACTGCTCCAATGGTGCGTTTGTGTTTTGTAGGAGAGACACTGAAAATGTCTTTATAGTTAAAAAAAAAAAACGAATTGTAACAGACAAAAATTAGTGATATATTTTATCTTATTAGAACGATATCACTCTCAGCATTTTTTTAGGTTGCCTTACGAATGGCACTGAGTAGAAGCTATTGTGTGATTTTTATTTTTTTTTAAATTTCCCCCTCGAATAATGTATACTTAATTTATACCGCTGCACCTCGATCATTATTTTTTACGGAACACTTTGAGGAGATTGAACCATATTTAGTTCACAAGAGCAAAAAAATGCCAAATGATGAAGCGTGTTCTCTAGTCTGTGATGAAATTCAGACATTTCACTGAGTGCCCAAGAAAGAGCAAAGCGACGTCTGGTGACTAGCAGAAAAATCATGCACTGATTCTATCTGATGTCGATTACATCAGATTAAAAACACCCAAACAACCAAGCTAAATGAGGGACCACATCCTGTGAGTTGCACTCTAAATATGCCGACACATCAGAAAGCACACAACACACCCTAGCGCACCCATGCCACGCGGGCGGCGGCGCAAGGAAGGTCCGTGACAGCTCACCTGCAATCCTCTCATCAATATGTAACCAAATATCTTCAAAGCTGGGCCAAAGTCCGTCACGTTGGATGTTATGACTCAATTGGCACTAAATTTATTGGAATGTATGATACGAACGATGAAAACATCACGAGAAGGGCGCCACGTCACAAAAGTAGGTGAAGACGATCGTAAAAAGAAAGTGGAGCAATCCCGATTTCTAACGTCAATTTATTGTACAAATTGAATCGATAGGCCCTATCCATATTCTGCATTTGACTGAATATTGAAGATTTGGACAGTTATAGATTGATGAAAAATGAAAAATCATCCAAATTAGGAAAATGGATTTCCTAATTAAAAAAAAAAAAAAAAAAGATTTCAGTCGTTTTTCTGGATTCCTGTTCACAAAACCAGACTACCAGACTAAGATAGCCGATGAATTGAAAATGAATCGATTCTCAAATGAATCGATAATTCATTTAAAAAGCAAAACATTTTTTTCAAGGCCTCATTCAATTAAAAAAAATGTCCAAATATTCAACAATTTAGCCTGTTCAACAGCCAATATTCTCAGATTTCTGGAGTCTTCCATCAAAGCTGACTTGTTATCTTTGTTAACATTTTTATAAGAAAACATTTGCAAACATTGTTCAACATTTTTGCCAAATTTTTTGACACGTTACAAACCAAACTAGAAACTGAATCTGAATTTTTCGCATTTTCTGCGCTGTCAATTTGAAACAATGGGCTGTATTTGAATATGAGAATGGACACTCAAAGTTTGTTTTTTTTATCCAATTCATTGATGAATTGACAGTTTAATAGATTATTTGAATACGTACAAATGGTTTTAAATCCTGGGTACAAACTATGCTCTCCCCTCCCTCATACCTTTTAAGTTTTTAAGCAATTTTTTAAAAATCAACTTCACGATACGTTTTTTTTAAATCTATTTCTTTCCTTTGCTTATTTAAATGTCTGTAAATCTGTTATTTGTAAATATGTCTCAGAAAAAAAGCAGTGTCAAAAATGGTGTGTCAAGATGTGATTTGTTTGTATGACAGTAAATAAATGTCAGGCCTCACTTTTGATCTGTTTGCTTACGTGCCGTCTTCTGTAGTTACAGGTCGCACAAAAACTTCCTGGCGTCCTACCTGGGCAGCTGGTCGGAGCAGCAGAAGCTGCAGAAACCTGTCAGTGATGTTGTGGTGTGAGAGAGAGAGAGCGAGAGAGAGAGTTGGGAAAAGGTAAATTGTGAAACATGTTTGAAACTCAATCACAGCAGTTTTTTTTTTTTCACAGGAAATGACAAACGTGTATGCGTCTGCTTGCGTTATTCCTCCAAATTCCATCTGATAAACAATCCCAAAACAAGCCCGCATGTGTGCTGGTGGTGCATGATTTTTCTTGTCAAGGGTGGTGTTGGTCTCTCATGAGCCAAACACAATAAAGTAAAAAAAAAAAAAAAAGAAAAAAGCTTTTCGGGTGCCAGGGTGATGAGTAACATTGAAATAGTTCATCAAAAACAAGGCACAGAAAAAAAACTAAGTATATTTATGATTATTGTAAGCCACTGTAACAAAACTGTACTTGGTTAAGGATTCACATAAAATACAATGCGCGAAAATGAAATAATATTGTCCAATCTTTTGTCTCCCCGCAGCCACCATCACTTTCCTCACAGACGACCCGAAGCTGAAGACTCAATGAATGCTTCATTAGATGCAATGTAAACGGTCCATAATTTCTGAGCATTTAATTTATTTAGTGTCATTATTTATCTGTATGAGTGTGCGTATGTTGAATTATTATTATTATTATTACTATTATTATTATTATTATTATGATTATTATTACTGTATTACACAAATGTCTGTAGGCGGGAATGTTGAGCATTCACTCGACAGACAGCATTGTTTCTATTTATTGCACTGCTTTTGTGATAGGTCAGAGAAACTGTCGTCATCTCGCCTCTGGGAGCAAAAAAAAAAAAAGATGACATTTAAACAACAATAAAGTCTCTCAGTTTTACTTGGGTCTGACTTTTGTGTTTGTTGGAATGCCTTTTGTCACACACACACACACACACACACACACACACACACACACACACACGCACACACACACACACACACACACACACACACACACACGCGTGTATTTGCACCCCACGTATCGAATTGCCTTTTATTGGAGAGATGCAAACCAAACCCTTTATTTTTATATATATATATATATATATACATACACACTCACACACAAATCTGGAAATGTATGTATGTGGAGACCTATGTTTTCCTGTGTGTGTGTGTGTGTGTGTGTGTGTGTGTGTGTGTGTGTGTGTGTGTGTGTGTGTGTGCGTGCGTGTGTGTACGCACGAGCGCGTGATCCCCGCGGCATAGGCGGTTGTTGAAGTTACTTTCATCCACTTGATAAAATAGGTTGTATGGGTGCGGTGAGAGTGGGCCTTTGAGCTATTGTGTGTGTCGCCATGGCAACCAGGTAAACACAGCAGCTCTGGCTGGTCAGTCCAAGACCTTTCATTGTGAGTTCAAACTAAGGACACCTGGAATTTCCAGGGTGTGGTTCCACTTTTATCTCTCAGTCATTCACCATTTTTTTATGGAAGTGGCACAAGATTTTCTTCTGTCATTAAATCAGACGTTGTTGTTATGTGGGCTGTCAGTCAGTTTCTCGGCAGCTTTGAAGGTGACCTCTTTCGTCATATTTTGAACAACAGAGATGCACAATAGCTTTTTTTTGTTTGTAAATTTGATTTGATTTGATTTTTGATTGTTTTAAGACAAATAAATGTCAGTTGTAGTCTACATTATGAGGTAATTTTAGAAAGAAATATCGAATGTGTGTTGCTTGGATTTGCTTTCTTCAACCTTTCTGGTATTGTTATTTAGTTTGAAAAACAAGCCTCTTTGTTGACAATCAGGATTCAGAATTTTTACAGAATAACACAAACTCGCACTGAAGGCGCCTTGATGTGTTGGTTGAAATAGCCAGTGGTGACATTGCATAATATTTTTAGTCTGGAAGCAGCGAGATGAACTGGTCCTGCTCTCAAGGGAGTTTCTAATAAAGCAGCGAAAAATTGCTGAATTTTTGCTCATCACTTTTTTTTTAGTAAGTAATACAGAGTCATAAATTTAGCTTATTTTAGCCACTAAATTACTAAGTTTGCAACAACAGCTTGACATCGCTATGGTAATGAAAGCTAACTGCCTTTGTATGAGACAGAATTTTTTGGGTGGCGCCCAAAACTGATTTCAACCAGAGCGTATCATCTATTTTTGAACAAAAGTTCTTGTTCTTGTCATTTTGAAACATATTTCTTGTGGCTGGTGGTCTCCGTGCACACCCACCGGCACCTTCAGACCAACACCTTCAGACCACTGTGCCGTCATCTGAGTACACCACCAGCCCTATTTTTCCTGTGTGGTGCAGGCTTCACAGATCTTGAGAACAGGCTGTGTCAGTTCACATGAACTTGAGCTTTGCTGACACTCAACTAAGAAAAAAGAAGGGAGGCTGAACGAGAACTACCACTGCTCTCAAAAAACCTATTTTTCACTCAGGAATATGGCCACGCCCCCCACTCCGGCTTCCCGTGTCTTATTGGGAGTCAGCTGAGGAACCGGAAAAAATGTGCCCATTCAAAATCATTGTACGTAAATCGCTAATCATTTTCAATCCACACCAAAATTGATGTGGACATCTCTCCTTATGCCCACATCAATCTCTGAAAATATCGCAGGGATTAGCTTTTCCATAGCTCGTTTATGAGAGAATGAACAGAGGAGTAGTTTACGTTCAGTAACAATCATGCCGGATTTGCTTTGTTTTTTTAATAAGTGCCTGAACACAGTGCGTTCCGAGAGGCTTTTTGTAAACCGAACTGTTTGTAGGTCGTTATGTACTGAATTTCAATCTAAAAGGTTTTGCTCCTGGGGGTACGCCCGCCACCGCATTGATCACTCGCGCCACAACGTGGGGCTGCATCTCTGGCCAGACAGAATTAGTGTTCGCCCCACAACGGCGGAGCACCACAGCTGCCTGAATGGCGGGCATCTGCGACACAAAGATCTATCTTTGTCCGGTAAGAAGAGAATTTCGTCCGACTAAACTTGACTGTGTCAGCTGTATCAACGCTAATTGCTGCCTCGACTGCGACTGTGATGTTAGCCAGCTTGCTGCCAGAGCTAATTGCCTGCCTACCTAACCTCTTAAACCTGCATGTTTTTTTTTGTTGGTGTCACGAGCAAGGCCGCGAGCAAAAGCAGACAAGCTCAGTTTATTGAGCAGGTAGTTCAGTGACTGAAGATACGCCTGTTCCAATCTTGCCTGTTTTGTTTTACTTTTGCTGCTTGTGACCAGCAGGAGAACACAACACCATGCTCATCCATGCAGTTTTTTTTGTTTTGTTTTTTTTTTTTGCTGGGTAAATCGTCCATCCAAACTTTAGCGTAGCTAAAAGTCTGAAAACGACGAACAATTGCCACCAAAATTCATATGCGCATTCCCAATCTTGTCCACTTCAATCTGGAAAAATATCAATGTATAAGCAAACAATTTTTGTTTCAACTTTATTGAAATGGTCCGAAATGTAAACTGAAGAGACAAGACAATTACATTTCATTTTCAGCCATGATTTTTCTGATCCATTCAAGTTGCTCCATTGAGAGGAATGAATAGACTCCGGGGATCTTCAACTGGCCACAATACTCGGGTCCGAACGAAGTAATCCCCACGAGTGTTTCTTTGCACACCAGTGGACCTCCTGAGTCTCCCTGAAGACAGAACACGATGAGACTTGGACATCTCAATGATTCAAGGACACAAGTACAAATATGGCACTTACGTTGCAGGTGTCCGTCACCTTTTTACCATTCGAACCGGCACATATCATGCCCGCGGTGATGACCGGCTTTCTGTTATAATACTCGGCAGAATTGCATTTCTTTCTGTCGATGATGGTCACGTCAACAGACATGAGGACGTTGGACATGTTCTTGTTCTCATTACTCGTCCTGCCCCACCCGGCCACCAAACAGCGGCTGCCGGCCTTTGGGTCTTTGGCCTTCCCGGGCAGCTCCAAACACTTCACCGTCTTGGTTTGCTTCGCAGGTTTGTCAAGCTGGAATTTTGTGAGTTGAAAATATGTTCAGGTGACATTTTTTTCACTATTTTAATTTTTGTTCATCACAATCAGACAGGCGAGACTCAGTGAAAGGCCAGCTTGAGGTTCTCACCCAAGATTTTCCATCTGAGTGCCACCTCATTTGTCTGTTACGTTCACGGGTCAATGTGACTCGCTGAATGTTTTGGGATTTCACAAAATAACACATAGAAATCAATATTATTTCTGTTTTGTTTCTTTCTTCGCTCAGCAGTGACCTACTAAATGTTTAACCATGAAAAAATGATCAACTGCGTGTCTAGTTTCAAGAAAGAAAAAGCATTTAGCGCTTGTGATGGTCAAAGAGAGACTTCTGTGGGGATGCACCTCACCTTGAGCAACATAAGGTCATTGACCCTGCTCTTGCGTTCGTAGAGGGGATGAGGAACTTTGATTTGGACGTTTCTTATCTGGCGGGAGGCCGTTTCACTTTTGTCAATGGCATGTACACCAAGCCACACGCTCTTTGGACTGTATGCAAAGGAACCAAATGGTGGGAACGTGAAGGTCAAGTCACATGAATAAATCAGTGTTTGTACAAACAGATTATTGAAGGCATCAAACTAAAACGTCACAAATTATACAGTATGTACTGACAAAATGATCTTGTCTCAATTTACTCGCAAACGTATGTACTCAGTGTGAATTCACATCCCATTTAGATGAACACATTCTTATTATTCTGCTGCATGAATCGCAGTCGAGCCACTGGTTTTACCTTCTGCCATCTTGTGGAAAATCATTGATTTGTCCTGCTTGTCAAGATATATTATTTGAAGTAAGTGAATCATAATTTTGGTGAAATTGGGTCATTTTTACAGAGGATAAGAAACCATACCTGTGTGTATTGTGATGTTGTCTGTCTTCATGTGCTGCTCCACCATTTGTGTTCAATCCATCGGTCAAAGGGTTTTAATGCCGCAACTATCTGTGTTATTTGTTCGCCTGTCTATGCCGTTTTTTATTATGTGCTATCTTTTTTTTTTTTTCAGCTCACGGGTGCATTCCAAGGCAAAGTTGTCGTGCACACGTAGTTCTCTTTGCATGTTTTTTGATTCTGACAAAAATAGGATTATATATGAGCACATGGGTGGAATGGTGGACGACTAGTTTGCACGTCTGCCTCACAGCGTAGAAGTCATGGGTTCGATTCCGGGCCCCGGCCATCCTGTGTGGAGGTTGCATGTTCTCCTTGTGCCTGCGTGGGTTTTCTCCGGGTACTCGGGTTTACTCTCAAATTCCAAAAATGTGAATGCTAGGTAAATAGCACACTCTAAATTGTCCTCAAGTGTGATTGTGAGTGTGAATGTTTGTTTATTGAGGTGTGCTCGATGATTGCCTGGCAACCAGTTCAGGTTATACGCCGCCGACTACTCGAAGACGGCTGGGAAAGGCTCCAGCCCGCCCGCGAGCCTCATGAAGCCTTGTCATTGATAGTGATTTTTAAATGTCATAATAAAAACATAAAATAATAATTCAAAGTAATCATAAAATACGATGGAAAACATATATTACATATACAATAAAAATTTTTAAATAATATATTTTATAAGAAAAATAAATATTGAATGATATTTTTTTACATTAACAATAATTGAGAATTTTTTTTCTTTTCACATTTTTGGGGGAAATGTATGTTATGCTATTCTTCACATGAAAATATCAGCGCATGACTTACTCATTACAGTGGGCAGCAGTGAGAACCCATTGTGGATTGATGAGAACACCCCCACAGTCCGGGATCTCTATCGTGAGCAGCGCCATGTAAGGCAACGAGTGGGGCTTGACTTCTTTTCCGCCGATAATCTCAGTTGCATCGTCTGTAAAAATCAAACATCGTAACAAAAAAATTAAAAAATAAAAAAAAATCAACTTATCAATAATCATCAATCATCAATCAATCAATCACAAAGGGTTTTACTCACTTGGCGCAACCATGAGGAGAGCCGCTGCAGAAAGAAAGCCACTCAACAACATTTTGCCTTCTTCTTAGACCACTTTGGTTCACACCTTTTATACTCTCTTGGGGGATGCAAAGACATGAGTCAGCAAAAAAAAAAAAAAAAAGCCGCATTCCTCATCTTGGTTTGTGACAATTCTTGCGTTGAAGAAAAATATATCTTGATGCCATAAGGCACATCAGTGATTCACTAAAGGGACGTGGGGTCAGGGAAGGCAGCATGTGAAGTGTAAAAAAAGAAAGAAAGAAAGAAAATAATTTATTGATTATGTGAGAGAATTTTCCCTTTTTAAAATCAATGTCATACATGGATCAGAGAACTCTCTGATCCATGTATGACATTGATTTTGTTTTTTTTATTCCAAAACAGCCTAATTTGCATAGTTCCTTTTCAAATACAGTACATGGTGAAAAGGCAATAGAGGCATTGCACGTTCAGTGCCTCCAGGGGCAACATGCGCATCAATTGCTGTTCCGGCAGTCGGCAGGAGCCCACACACACAAGAGACATTGCTTGTGAGCCTTTATAGCGCCAACATACAGAACGTGTTTTATCACACATGTCCCGAACACGCTAATGGTCAAGAGTCTGTATAATATCCCCATTAATCGAACGTACATCGCCAACCATTTTCAAGAAACAGCAATCAATCCACACCAAAATTTATGTGGACATCTCTACTTATGCTCACACATCAATCTCTGAAAATATCGCAGGGATTAGCTTCTCCATAGCTCATTTATGAGAGAATGAAACAATGAGCAGTTTACGTTCAGTTACAATCATGCCGGATTTGCTTTCTTTAATAAGTGCCTAAACACGATGCGTTCCGAGAGGCTTTTTGTAAACTGAACTGTTTGTATGTCGTGATGAATTGAATTTCAATCTAAAAGGTTTTGCTCCTGGGGGTACGCCCGCCACCGCATTGATCAGTCGCGCCACAACGTGGGGCTGCATCTCTGGCCAGACAGAATTAGTGTTCGCCCCACAACGGCGGAGCACCACAGCTGCCTGAATGGCGGGCATCTGCGACACAAAGATCTATCTTTGTCCGGTAAGAAGAGAATTTCGTCCGACTAAACTTGACTGTGTCAGCTGTATCAACGCTAATTGCTGCCTCGACTGCGACTGTGATGTTAGCCAGCTAGCTGCCAGAGCTAATTGCCTGCCTACCTAACCAATTAAACCTGCATGTTTTTTTTTTTTTGTTGGTGTCACGAGCAAGGCCACAAGCAAAAGCAGACAAGCTCAGTTTATTGAGCAGGTAGATCAGTGACTAAAGATACGCCTGTTCCAATCTTGCCTGTTTTGTTTTACTTTTGCTGTTTGTGACCAGCAGGAGAACACAACACCATGCTCATCCATGCAGTTTTTTTTTTTTTTTTTTTTTTTTTTGCTGGGTAAATCGTCCATCCAAACTTTAGCGTAGCTAAAAGTCTGAAATCTACGTACAATTGCCACCAAAATTCATATGCGCATTCCCAATCTTGTCCACTTCAATCTGGAAAAATATCAATGTGTAAGCAAACAATTTTCATTTCAACTTTATTGAAATGGTCCGAAATGTAAACTGAAGAGACAAGACAATTACATTTCATTTTCAGCGATGGTTTTTCTGATCCATTCAAGTTGCTCCATTGAGAGGAATGAATAGACTCCGGGGATCTTCAACTGGCCACAATACTCGGGTCCGAACGAAGTAATCCCCACGAGTGTTTCTTTGCACACCAGTGGACCTCCTGAGTCTCCCTGAAGACAGAACACGATGAGACTTGGACATCTCAATGATTCAAGGACACAATTACAAATATGGCACTTACTTTGCAGGTGTCCGTCACCTTTTTTCCATTCGAACCGGCACATATCATGCCCGCGGTGATGACCGGCTTTCTGTTATAATACTCGGCAGAATTGCATTTCTTTCTGTCGATGACGGTCACGTCAACAGACCTGAGGACGTTGGACGTGCTGTTGTTCTCGTTACTTGTCCGGCCCCACCCGGCCACCAAACAGCGGCTGCCGGCCTTTGGGGCTTTTGGCTTCCCCGGCGGACCCAGTGGGCAGCAGTGAGAACCCATTGTGGATTGATGAGAACACCCCCACAGTGCGGCTTATTTTTCACGAGCAGTGCCATGTAAGGCAACGAGTGGGGCTTGACTTCTTTTCCGCCGATAATCTCAGTTGCATCGTCTGTAAAAATCAAACATCGTAACAAAAAAATTAAAAAATAAAAAAAAATCAACTTATCAATAATCATCAATCATCAATCAATCAATCACAAAGGGTTTTACTCACTTGGCGCAACCATGAGGAGAGCCGCTGCAGAAAGAAAGCCACTCAACAACATTTTGCCTTCTTCTTAGACCACTTTGGTTCACACCTTTTATCCTCTCTTGGGGGATGCAAAGACATGAGTCAGCAAAAAAAAAAAAAAAAGCCGCATTCCTCATCTTGGTTTGTGACAATTCTTGCGTTGAAGAAAAATATATCTTGATGCCATAAGGCACATCAGTGATTCACTAAAGGGACGTGGGGTCAGGGAAGGCAGCATGTGAAGTGTAAAAAAAGAAAGAAAGAAAGAAAATAATTTATTGATTATGTGAGAGAATTTTCCCTTTTTAAAATCAATGTCATACATGGATCAGAGAACTCTCTGATCCATGTATGACATTGATTTTGTTTTTTTTATTCCAAAACAGCCTAATTTGCATAGTTCCTTTTCAAATACAGTACATGGTGAAAAGGCAATAGAGGCATTGCACGTTCAGTGCCTCCAGGGGCAACATGCGCATCAATTGCTGTTCCGGCAGTCGGCAGGAGCCCACACACACAAGAGACATTGCTTGTGAGCCTTTATAGCGCCAACATACAGAACGTGTTTTATCACACATGTCCCGAACACGCTAATGGTCAAGAGTCTGTATAATATCCCCATTAATCGAACGTACATCGCCAACCATTTTCAAGAAACAGCAATCAATCCACACCAAAATTTATGTGGACATCTCTACTTATGCTCACACATCAATCTCTGAAAATATCGCAGGGATTAGCTTCTCCATAGCTCATTTATGAGAGAATGAAACAATGAGCAGTTTACGTTCAGTTACAATCATGCCGGATTTGCTTTCTTTAATAAGTGCCTAAACACGATGCGTTCCGAGAGGCTTTTTGTAAACTGAACTGTTTGTATGTCGTGATGAATTGAATTTCAATCTAAAAGGTTTTGCTCCTGGGGGTATTAGCTTTTCCATAGCTCGTTTATGAGAGAATGAACAGAGGAGTAGTTTACGTTCAGTAACAATCATGCCGGATTTGCTTTGTTTTTTTAATAAGTGCCTGAACACAGTGCGTTCCGAGAGGCTTTTTGTAAACCGAACTGTTTGTAGGTCGTTATGTACTGAATTTCAATCTAAAAGGTTTTGCTCCTGGGGGTACGCCCGCCCCCGCATTGATCCCTCGCACCACATGGGGCAGCATCTCTGGCCAGACAGAATTAGTGTTCGCCCCACAACGGCGGAGCACCACAGCTGCCTGAGTGGCGGGCGTCTTCGGCCCAAAAAATTTCAACTTTATTGAAATGGTCCGAAATGTAAACTGAAGAGACAAGACAATTACATTTCATTTTCAGCGATGGTTTTTCTGATCCATTCAAGTTGCTCCATTGAGAGGAATGAATAGACTCCGGGGATCTTCAACTGGCCACAATACTCGGGTCCGAACGAAGTAATCCCCACGAGTGTTTCTTTGCACACCAGTGGACCTCCTGAGTCTCCCTGAAGACAGAACACGATGAGAACCGCATTGATCACTCGCGCCACAACGTGGGGCTGCATCTCTGGCCAGACAGAATTAGTGTTCGCCCCACAACGGCGGAGCACCACAGCTGCCTGAATGGCGGGCATCTGCGACACCAAGATCTATCTTTGTCCGGTAAGAAGAGGATTTCGTCCGACTAAACTTGACTGTGTCAGCTGTATCAACGCTAATTGCTGCCTCGACTGCGACTGTGATGTTAGCCAGCTTGCTGCCAGAGCTAATTGCCTGCCTACCTAACCTCTTAAACCTGCATGTTTTTTTTTGTTGGTGTCACGAGCAAGGCCGCGAGCAAAAGCAGACAAGCTCAGTTTATTGAGCAGGTAGTTCAGTGACTGAAGATACGCCTGTTCCAATCTTGCCTGTTTTGTTTTACTTTTGCTGCTTGTGACCAGCAGGAGAACACAACACCATGCTCATCCATGCAGTTTTTTTTGTTTTGTTTTTTTTTTTTGCTGGGTAAATCGTCCATCCAAACTTTAGCGTAGCTAAAAGTCTGAAAACGACGAACAATTGCCACCAAAATTCATATGCGCATTCCCAATCTTGTCCACTTCAATCTGGAAAAATATCAATGTATAAGCAAACAATTTTTGTTTCAACTTTATTGAAATGGTCCGAAATGTAAACTGAAGAGACAAGACAATTACATTTCATTTTCAGCCATGATTTTTCTGATCCATTCAAGTTGCTCCATTGAGAGGAATGAATAGACTCCGGGGGGCTTCATCAGGCCACAACACTTGGGCCCGAACGAAGTAATCCCCATGAGTGTTCCTTTGCACACCAGTGGCCCTCCTGAGTCTCCCTGAAGACAGAACACGATGAGACTTGGACATCTCAATGATTCAAGGACACAATTACAAATATGGCACTTACTTTGCAGGTGTCCGTCACCTTTTTTCCATTCGAACCGGCACATATCATGCCCGCGGTGATGACCGGCTTTCTGTTATAATACTCGGCAGAATTGCATTTCTTTCTGTCGATGATGGTCACGTCAACAGACATGAGGACGTTGGACATGTTCTTGTTCTCATTACTCGTCCTGCCCCACCCGGCCACCAAACAGCGGCTGCCGGCCTTTGGGTCTTTGGCCTTCCCGGGCAGCTCCAAACACTTCACCGTCTTGGTTTTCTTCACAGGTTTCTCCAGCTGGAATTTTGTGAGTTAAAAATTTGTTCAGGTGACTTTCTTTTGCCATTTTTATTTTTGTGCATCAAAATCAGACAGGTGGGACCACCCAAGATTTTTCATCTGAGTGCCACCTCATTATGTTCGCGGGTCAATGTGACTTGCTGAATGTTTAGGCATTTCACAAAATAACAAATAGAAGTGATGATCAGAATGAAAGGATGAATGGTCAAAAAAACGTATTTATTTAATGCAAATAATATACAGTATCTTTGCTCTTCAATCAGTGCCAGCGACTTATTGTGACAAGCCAAATAATTAAATGCTCTTTGACGACATGGCAGTCACAGAAATTTGTGAGTAAAGTGAAACTAAATCAATATTATTTCTGTTTTGTTAGCATAGTTTCAAGAAAGAAAAAACATTTAGCGCTTGTGATGGTCAAAGAGAGACTTCTGGGCTTCATCAGGCCACAACACTTGGGCCCGAACGAAGTAATCCCCATGAGTGTTCCTTTGCACACCAGTGGCCCTCCTGAGTCTCCCTGAAGACAGAACACGATGAGACTTGGACATCTCAATGATTCAAGGACACAATTACAAATATGGCACTTACTTTGCAGGTGTCCGTCACCTTTTTTCCATTCGAACCGGCACATATCATGCCCGCGGTGATGACCGGCTTTCTGTTATAATACTCGGCAGAATTGCATTTCTTTCTGTCGATGATGGTCACGTCAACAGACATGAGGACGTTGGACATGTTCTTGTTCTCATTACTCGTCCTGCCCCACCCGGCCACCAAACAGCGGCTGCCGGCTTTTGGGTCTTTGGCCTTCCCGGGCAGCTCCAAACACTTCACCGTCTTGGTTTGCTTCGCAGGTTTGTCAAGCTGGAATTTTGTGAGTTGAAAATATGTTCAGGTGACATTTTTTTCACTATTTTAATTTTTGTTCATCACAATCAGACAGGCGAGACTCAGTGAAAGGCCAGCTTGAGGTTCTCACCCAAGATTTTCCATCTGAGTGCCACCTCATTTGTCTGTTACGTTCACGGGTCAATGTGACTCGCTGAATGTTTTGGGATTTCACAAAATAACACATAGAAATCAATATTATTTCTGTTTTGTTTCTTTCTTCGCTCAGCAGTGACCTACTAAATGTTTAACCATGAAAAAATGATCAACTGCGTGTCTAGTTTCAAGAAAGAAAAAGCATTTAGCGCTTGTGATGGTCAAAGAGAGACTTCTGTGGGGATGTACCTCACCTTGAGCAACATAAGGTCATTGACCTTGCTCTTACGTTCGTAGAGGGGATGAGGAACTTTGATTTGGACGTTTCTTATCTGGCGGGAGGCCGTTTCACTTTTGTCAATGGCATGTACACCAAGCCACACGCTCTTTGGACTGTATGCAAAGGAACCAAATGGTGGGAACGTGAAGGTCAAGTCACATGAATAAATCAGTGTTTGTACAAACAGATTATTGAAGGCATCAAACTAAAACGTCACAAATTATACAGTATGTACTGACAAAATGATCTTGTCTCAATTTACTCGCAAACGTATGTACTCAGTGTGAATTCTCATCCCATTTAGATGAACACATTCTTATTATTCTGCTGCATGAATCGCAGTCGAGCCACTGGTTTTACCTTCTGCCATCTTGTGGAAAATCATTGATTTGTCCTGCTTGTCAAGATATATTATTTGAAGTAAGTGAATCATAATTTTGGTGAAATTGGGTCATTTTTACAGAGGATAAGAAACCATACCTGTGTGTATTGTGATGTTGTCTGTCTTCATGTGCTGCTCCACCATTTGTGTTCAATCCATCGGTCAAAGGGTTTTAATGCCGCCACTATCTGTGTTATTTGTTAGCCTGTCTATGCCGTTTTTTATTATGTGCTATCTTTTTTTTTTTTAAAGCTCACGGGTGCATTCCAAGGCAAAGTTGTCGTGCACACGTAGTTCTCTTTGCATGTTTTTTGATTCTGACAAAAATAGGATTATATATGAGCACATGGGTGGAATGGTGGACGACTAGTTTGCACGTCTGCCTCACAGCGTAGAAGTCATGGGTTCGATTCCGGGCCCCGGCCATCCTGTGTGGAGGTTGCATGTTCTCCTTGTGCCTGCGTGGGTTTTCTCCGGGTACTCGGGTTTACTCTCAAATTCCAAAAATGTGAATGCTAGGTAAATAGCACACTCTAAATTGTCCTCAAGTGTGATTGTGAGTGTGAATGTTTGTTTATTGAGGTGTGCTCGATGATTGCCTGGCAACCAGTTCAGGTTATACGCCGCCGACTACTCGAAGACGGCTGGGAAAGGCTCCAGCACGCCCGCGAGCCTCATGAAGCCTTGTCATTGATAGTGATTTTTAAATGTCATAATAAAAACATAAAATAATAATTCAAAGTAATCATAAAATACGATGGAAAACATATATTACATATACAATAAAAATTTTTAAATAATATATTTTATAAGAAAAATAAATATTGAATGATATTTTTTTACATTAACAATAATTGAGAATTTTTTTTCTTTTCACATTTTTGGGGGAAATGTATGTTATGCTATTCTTCACATGAAAATATCAGCGCATGACTTACTCATTACAGTGGGCAGCAGTGAGAACCCATTGTGGATTGATGAGAACACCCCCACAGTGCGGCTTATTTTTCACGAGCAGTGCCATGTAAGGCAACGAGTGGGGCTTGACTTCTTTTCCGCCGATAATCTCAGTTGCATCGTCTGTAAAAATCAAACATCGTAACAAAAAAATTAAAAAATAAAAAAAAATCAACTTATCAATAATCATCAATCATCAATCAATCAATCACAAAGGGTTTTACTCACTTGGCGCAACCATGAGGAGAGCCGCTGCAGAAAGAAAGCCACTCAACAACATTTTGCCTTCTTCTTAGACCACTTTGGTTCACACCTTTTATACTCTCTTGGGGGATGCAAAGACATGAGTCAGCAAAAAAAAAAAAAAAAAAAAGCCACATCCCTCATCTCGGTTTGTGACAATTCTTGCGTGGAAGAAAAATATGTCTTGATGCCATAAGACACATCAGTGATTCATTGATTATGTGAGAGAATTTTCCCTTTTTAAAATCAATGTCATACATGGATCAGAGAACTCTCTGATCCATGTATGACATTGATTTTGTTTTTTTTATTCCAAAACAGCCTAATTTGCATAGTTCCTTTTCAAATACAGTACATGGTGAAAAGGCAATAGAGGCATTGCACGTTCAGTGCCTCCAGGGGCAACATGCGCATCAATTGCTGTTCCGGCAGTCGGCAGGAGCCCACACACACAAGAGACATTGCTTGTGAGCCTTTATAGCGCCAACATACAGAACGTGTTTTATCACACATGTCCCGAACACGCTAATGGTCAAGAGTCTGTATAATATCCCCATTAATCGAACGTACATCGCCAACCATTTTCAAGAAACAGCAATCAATCCACACCAAAATTTATGTGGACATCTCTACTTATGCTCACACATCAATCTCTGAAAATATCGCAGGGATTAGCTTCTCCATAGCTCATTTATGAGAGAATGAAACAATGAGCAGTTTACGTTCAGTTACAATCATGCCGGATTTGCTTTCTTTAATAAGTGCCTAAACACGATGCGTTCCGAGAGGCTTTTTGTAAACTGAACTGTTTGTATGTCGTGATGAATTGAATTTCAATCTAAAAGGTTTTGCTCCTGGGGGTACGCCCGCCCCCGCATTGATCCCTCGCACCACATGGGGCAGCATCTCTGGCCAGACAGAATTAGTGTTCGCCCCACAACGGCGGAGCACCACAGCTGCCTGAGTGGCGGGCATCTGCGACACAAAGATCTATCTTTGTCCGGTAAGAAGAGAATTTCGTCCGACTAAACTTGACTGTGTCAGCTGTATCAACGCTAATTGCTGCCTCGACTGCGACTGTGATGTTAGCCAGCTTGCTGCCAGAGCTAATTGCCTGCCTACCTAACCTCTTAAACCTGCATGTTTTTTTTTGTTGGTGTCACGAGCAAGGCCACAAGCAAAAGCAGACAAGCTCAGTTTATTGAGCAGGTAGATCAGTGACTAAAGATACGCCTGTTCCAATCTTGCCTGTTTTGTTTTACTTTTGCTGTTTGTGACCAGCAGGAGAACACAACACCATGCTCATCCATGCAGTTTTTTTTTTTTTTTTTGCTGGGTAAATCGTCCATCCAAACTTTAGCGTAGCTAAAAGTCTGAAATCTACGTACAATTGCCACCAAAATTCATATGCGCATTCCCAATCTTGTCCACTTCAATCTGGAAAAATATCAATGTGTAAGCAAACAATTTTCATTTCAACTTTATTGAAATGGTCCGAAATGTAAACTGAAGAGACAAGACAATTACATTTCATTTTCAGCGATGGTTTTTCTGATCCATTCAAGTTGCTCCATTGAGAGGAATGAATAGACTCCGGGGATCTTCAACTGGCCACAATACTCGGGTCCGAACGAAGTAATCCCCACGAGTGTTTCTTTGCACACCAGTGGACCTCCTGAGTCTCCCTGAAGACAGAACACGATGAGACTTGGACATCTCAATGATTCAAGGACACAAGTACAAATATGGCACTTACGTTGCAGGTGTCCGTCACCTTTTTACCATTCGAACCGGCACATATCATGCCCGCGGTGATGACCGGCTTTCTGTTATAATACTCGGCAGAATTGCATTTCTTTCTGTCGATGATGGTCACGTCAACAGACATGAGGACGTTGGACATGTTCTTGTTCTCATTACTCGTCCTGCCCCACCCGGCCACCAAACAGCGGCTGCCGGCCTTTGGGTCTTTGGCCTTCCCGGGCAGCTCCAAACACTTCACCGTCTTGGTTTTCTTCACAGGTTTCTCCAGCTGGAATTTTGTGAGTTAAAAATTTGTTCAGGTGACTTTCTTTTGCCATTTTTATTTTTGTGCATCAAAATCAGACAGGTGGGACCACCCAAGATTTTTCATCTGAGTGCCACCTCATTATGTTCGCGGGTCAATGTGACTTGCTGAATGTTTAGGCATTTCACAAAATAACAAATAGAAGTGATGATCAGAATGAAAGGATGAATGGTCAAAAAAACGTATTTATTTAATGCAAATAATATACAGTATCTTTGCTCTTCAATCAGTGCCAGCGACTTATTGTGACAAGCCAAATAATTAAATGCTCTTTGACGACATGGCAGTCACAGAAATTTGTGAGTAAAGTGAAACTAAATCAATATTATTTCTGTTTTGTTAGCATAGTTTCAAGAAAGAAAAAACATTTAGCGCTTGTGATGGTCAAAGAGAGACTTCTGTGGGGATGTACCTCACCTTGAGCAACATAAGGTCATTGACCTTGCTCTTACGTTCGTAGAGGGGATGAGGAACTTTGATTTGGACGTTTCTTATCTGGCGGGAGGCCGTTTCACTTTTGTCAATGGCATGTACACCAAGCCACACGCTCTTTGGACTGTATGCAAAGGAACCAAATGGTGGGAACGTGAAGGTCAAGTCACATGAATAAATCAGTGTTTGTACAAACAGATTATTGAAGGCATCAAACTAAAACGTCACAAATTATACAGTATATACTGACAAAATGATCGTGTCTCAATTTACTCGCAAACGTATGTACTCAGTGTGAATTCTCATCCCATTTAGATGAACACATTCTTATTATTCTGCTGCATGAATCGCAGTCGAGCCACTGGTTTTACCTTCTGCCATCTCGTGGAAAATCATTGATTTGTCCTGCTTGTCAAGATATATTATTTGAAGTAAGTGAATCATAATTTTGGTGAAATTGGGTCATTTTTACAGAGGATAAGAAACCATACCTGTGTGTATTGTGATGTTGTCTGTCTTCATGTGCTGCTCCACCATTTGTGTTCAATCCATCGGTCAAAGGGTTTTAATGCCGCAACTATCTGTGTTATTTGTTCGCCTGTCTATGCCGTTTTTTATTATGTGCTATCTTTTTTTTTTTTTCAGCTCACGGGTGCATTCCAAGGCAAAGTTGTCGTGCACACGTAGTTCTCTTTGCATGTTTTTTGATTCTGACAAAAATAGGATTATATATGAGCACATGGGTGGAATGGTGGACGACTAGTTTGCACGTCTGCCTCACAGCGTAGAAGTCATGGGTTCGATTCCGGGCCCCGGCCATCCTGTGTGGAGGTTGCATGTTCTCCTTGTGCCTGCGTGGGTTTTCTCCGGGTACTCGGGTTTACTCTCAAATTCCAAAAATGTGAATGCTAGGTAAATAGCACACTCTAAATTGTCCTCAAGTGTGATTGTGAGTGTGAATGTTTGTTTATTGAGGTGTGCTCGATGATTGCCTGGCAACCAGTTCAGGTTATACGCCGCCGACTACTCGAAGACGGCTGGGAAAGGCTCCAGCACGCCCGCGAGCCTCATGAAGCCTTGTCATTGATAGTGATTTTTAAATGTCATAATAACAACATATAATAATAATTAAAAGTAATAATCAATAAAATACTATGGAAACTATATATTACATATACAATAAAAATAATAAAATAATATATTTTATCAAGTATACGCCGCCGACTACCCAAAGACGGCTGGGAAAGGCTCCAGCACGCCCGCGAGCCTCATGAAGCCTTGTCATTGATAGTGATTTTTAAATGTCATAATAACAACATATAATAATAATTAAAAGTAATAATCAATAAAATACTATGGAAACTATATATTACATATACAATAAAAATAATAAAATAATATATTTTATCATAAAAATAAATATTGAATGATATTTTTTACATTAACAATAATTGAGAATTTTTTTTTCTTTTCACATTTTTTGGGGGAAATGTATGTTATGCTATTCTTCACATGAAATCATCAGCACATGACTTACTCATGACAGTGGGCAGCAGTGAGAACCCATTGTGGATTGATGAGAACACCCCCACAGTCCGGGATCTCTATCGTGAGCAGCGCCATGTAAGGCAACGAGTGGGGCTTGACTTCTTTTCCGCCGATAATCTCAGTTGCATCGTCTGTAAAAATCAAACATCGTAACAAAAAAATTAAAAAATAAAAAAAAATCAACTTATCAATAATCATCAATCATCAATCAATCAATCACAAAGGGTTTTACTCACTTGGCGTTGGTCAGTAGGTGTCTTGGTATGTAGGTAGGTAACTAAGTCGTCGGTTGGTCAGTCAGTACCGGGGGTATGTAGGGAAGCGCGTAGGTAGCCTAAGTATTAATATGTATGAAGGATGAATAGAGAATAACTACAAAGTAGATAAATAGTCTTACAGTAGTCGTTTACCAGCGATGGTGCAGCCAACTTGAGTGCGGACTCTGCTCGCGGACTCGCTGAAGATACATTCAGGACCGAAAATGGCTTGGGATCACTTTGGACTTTTTCTGAATGTGCATCGGATAAAGATCTTGTTAGGGTGGTTCTGTTTGTGACCAACAGGTGGCTCGGTTTGTGACAATTCTTGCGTGGAAGAAAAATATGTCTTGATGCCATAAGACACATCAGTGATTCACTACAGGGACGTGGGGTCAGGGAAGGCAGCATTAAAAAAGAAAGAAAGAAAGAAAATAATTTAATGATTATGTTAGAGTATTTTCCCTTTTAGTTCCCTGATCCATGTATTATATTGATTTTCTTTTTTTATTCCAAAACAGCCTAATTTGCATAGTTCCTTTTCAAATACATGGTGAAAAGGCAATAGAGGCATTGCACGTTCAGTGCCTCCAGGGGCAACATGCACATCAATTGCTGTTGTGGCAGTCGGCAGGAGCCCACACACACAAGAGACATTGCTTGTGAGCCTTTATAGCGCGTATAATAGCCTTCTATCGATTGCAATGTGTCGAAGAAGCCCAGCAACATACTGTACTGTGCATAACCGACGAGAGCAGGGGTGTCAGACTCATTTCACACTGTGGGCCGCATACGGCCTAGGAAGATGTCAAGTGGGCCGGACCATTAAAATTATCCCATACTCTGCTATAAATAACTAAAATAATATGTCTTTCCTTTGTTTTGGTCTAAAGAAGCACAAGACCTTTCGGAAAATGTTGAAATGTAATGAACATATCTTTTACAAAACATTTCATGAAGCACCTTCGATTTCCTTAGACAAATGTACAATTTACTTTTATCATTCACATATATGCATTGCAACTGATCCCACTGATTGTACAAAGGCACAAAACTTTGAAAAGTAATTGGTATTTAAAATTTATAGTCATGCATTTCAAGATTAAACGAGATTCATAAAGAAAGGAATTTTTAAAACATTTACACATGGGCAAATAAAATCTCAATTTAATCCCTGCCTACACCCTACAAACGTAACAACAAAATGTAACAAGGAGAGTCCTATTAAATGTGTAAAGAATAAATGATAGCGTCTGCTGTGTCGGGTCTGTCTCAGTGACAGACTGAGACTGCGATTGTCTTGTTCTCTGATCAAAACAATGTTGTCTTCTACTCTTATCAAAACCGTGTGTCCCCTCGCGGATATTCCATGAATTGCACATTATTAAACATATTCATTCTGTGTCTTTTATTATTTTTTTCACTTTTAAATGATCCTGCGGACCTGATCGTACCTCCTTGGGGGCCAATTCCGGCCCGTGGGCCGTATGTTTGACACCCTAGACCAGAGCAAGCCTCGACCAGTTGAGGATGTGGAGACCTACTCACTTGAGTTGAAGTAACTGTGTTTGGCTCCAATGAACAAACGTAAGCGCAATTTATTTATTTGTTTATTCACAATTTTAAAGCAAGATCGTTAAAAAAACACGAACAAGAACAACAACAGCATTTAACTTGATCTTACATTAAATTTTCTTTTGTTTTCTTGCTATCACGTTGTTGAACAGTGTGGGATTGAAATATAATTAAAAGATTTGGAAACAAATACTGGTCTTCAAAAATTCCGTGTTGACCTGGATCGAAACAAGTTTACTAAGAAAGTCCAAATAGAAATATAGACTAATCTTTTATTTTGGGTTTGTTCTTTTACCTCTTACCCCAGAGGAGTCAACCAGTCATGAACCTCAATGCACATTCAATGGGAAACCGAAACTGATGTACCGGTAAATGAAAATCTGACACAGTGACTCGGGTTGCAAAGATGTACAGCATTTAGTCACATTTTTTTCCTTTGGCGTAAAATGTCCAAAATAAAACATTGTATTTTATTAATAATTTTGTTTAGTTTACCAAGACACGTGTTGCATTATATAGTATGCACCTCAGCTATGATTCAATATTTTACACAAAAAGGCCGAAAGTATCAACGTCTCTCATTGCAAAACTGAATTCTTGATATCATCAATAAAATAAATTAATGATGACAGCACTGGCTTGGATTATGTAACCTTCTAATCTAATGTAAATGGCAGCAAGTGTTGCAGTCGGCATCTTCAATTTGATGCACGGATCATCACAGTTTATCCCATAGGCTATCTTCCTTTGTGTTTCTTCGATAAATGACAGCAGAATTTAGAGGGGGGTGTAAATTAGTTTTTCTAGCACTTATTTTTTTCGTACTTTCTGTAATCTCCATCGTGGAACTTGTATTGTGTTTTCACGGGGTGAAGAGGGCTCCAATTAAAATTGTGACCTGTGTGCTGCACACAATGACAAACTTCATCAGTGATGTAATCAAGAAGAAATTCTACTTTACAAAAATAATAAATGACAAGTAGTCTTTCTTTTATGTGTATGTGTGGTTTTTTTTTTCATTAACGCTGTCCTATTTTTCAAAGGAAGTCTTCATGACTGTGTTTTTCTTGTGGTTTTCTCACCCACAAGTGAGACACAGCTTCCTCTTGAGGTCGGTAAATTGAAAGAAGAGGAGACCTTTAAACTCCCATTCAGTGGTAAACCGTTAATCGGGTAACACGACACTAACATATCGCAAAATGAATATCAAGAAAGTTTGTTTTATGGGAACCAAACCAGAATGCTATATACAGTAAACACACTTGATCAGCCATTTAAGATTTTCACCGATGCATTTATTTATTTACTACTAATAGTTAAAATAAAAGGTGGTTCTCAGGGGCTAGAAGTCTGCGAGTCTTTTGCCACAAAGGTGGTTTTGTCAGTGGACTGCAAGTGTGAACGAGAACTGTGCATTTGCCGCGTTGCAGCAATGGTGATGTGTTGACCGCATGTTTTAAGCGTACGTTCTTAACAATGCTGAGATGTGGGAAATGGCATGTTCCACACATGAAGACGCTGATCGGCACCTGCAGTGAAGAGCTGGCTCCCGACCTTGTTCAAGGACACGTGCAGAATACGACTTGAATGACCTGGAAAAAAAAAAAAGCAAAAAAAAAAATATATATAAACTCATGGCGACATTCAAGGGAAACTTTGAGAGCTCCGACTGGCGAGCATTTTAAATATGTCATAATTAAAATACCTTGTCGGAAAGCTACATGGTAGAGGTCTGGATTCCAAATGTTGAAAAATGTGACCTCATAACAAGCGTCACTATTTACAGAACCTTGATAAGATGGCGAACGAGACGTAGTGATAAGATCATTTGGAGCAGATTTTTAAAATAATGACTCACCGTTAGCCACTAGCAGTATGCTGGCACCCTCTTGTGGTATGCAAAATGATTGCAAAATTCTATAGCACTTTATCGACAATATTGTGCCCAAAGCGCTTTGTAAAGCTTCACTTACTCACTTATTTAATACATATTCATTTACTGAACCAGAGTGAACAGAAGTGTGTTGACCCAGCAGCGTTAACCTATGGAAAAGGTTGTCCTTTATAGTTGAAAATAGCTTGATTCATCTTCCACAATGCCTCATCGTACCCTGGCCAAGGATACAATCCATGGTGTTTTTTTTCTTGCTTTAATCTGTATTGTGATGTACCAGCTACATAGCCCTAAGCTAACCTATCGATTCTCCATATGCTGCTGTGATGGTGTGAGAGGCCAGCAGTGAAGAAACAAAGACAAAGATAATTGATATGCTTCCTAGCTGGGCTTTATTGACTAACTGCTTAACAATTGAATTTAATGTTCATTAGCCAGCATAATTTTTCATAAACAGCACAAACGATTCCGGGTGTCCCACTCGAAAATAGCGTGCTTTTCTCACGACGCACGTGACACTCCTACATACACTATGTCACGAATATCCAAACGCACGTGTGACCATTCAACATTCCCCTGTGACGCGCCGACGTTTTGACCCATTCTGACTCGAATTCGAAAATTCTCATTTGGTGTTCATTTTAAATGGCATACTCGCATCTCTAGTCAAGTGACCACGGATTCATACACCGCCCTTGTATCATATATACTTTTTGAGTATTATTTGGTGTAAAAAGTGGTTCAATCGAACCCCAGGGAAAATAGACTGCTGAATGAATTGTTCTTTTACCTGAAAGGTGCAAAAGAGGCCTGAGTGAGGGGAAATTCCAATCCCAACAAATGGCGCTGTTATGGGGGCGCCCATGCCCGGTCACCAGGATTCTGGTGGCCTCCACCCAGTTAAGTGAGCAGATCTGCAATCAGAGTTGTTCCAAGAGTCAACGGTGCGTAACGTCATAGTGTCAGCGCTTCAGTGATGCTCAGAGTGTCAATGCACCTGTGAGTTGGTGTCAGCAGACCGGACACAACGGGCCAACTCGGTGTCCCAAATTCGAAGCTTTCCGTCTTCCCACCCTCCACCCGTTGCCATCACATTTCTCTTCCAAGGACACCATCCCATCGCCTGAACGCATACAACCTTGTCAATGCTTCAAAAGATCTTCAGATGTTAAAATTCAGTAGGACTGCACCCCACTTGAGGTAAAAAAAAAAAAAAGATCACTTTATTGATTGACACCTTGACGGCGCTCGGCTGCTTCATTGTGGGGGGGGGCCGGC